TGGATTATAAACAATGTCGTCGTCAAAGAATTGTAAATGATAAATTAGTTAAATTAATGAGGCCATTGAAAATTTGGAAGCACTGTAACAATTCAATAACATAACAAAACGGAAAATCTGATGTTGCAGTACTTAGTCCAACGATACAAAATACTTCAAGTCGAATGTCGTTGTTGCTTGTGGAGCCCAGTTTATCTGAGCTATTAGTATAAATCGTTCAACTCTTTGTCTCAATTTCTATTTCAGCCAAATCAGCACTGTAAGTGTTACACGCTGTAAGTGTTACTCTTGTTAATAGCGCAGTTTACTTTTATTACATTTTTGGTGACATATTTATCGAATTCGCTATTTTGCTATATACCGGACATCTTTTATTTATTGATGTATTTCTCTAAAGGAGTATGAAATAAATGCTTCTTGAATTGAATTGAATTAAATTGAAATTGAATAATATGAGACAGTGTTTTTTTTTTTTTTTTACAGTGACCTTCGTTTAGCATAACGATCTTGGAAGAGCACCAGTGGAATGGATAGCAACGTCACTCCACCATACAAGTAGAAAGCTATGTTGAAACTCCCGGTCCACTCGTTAATCCAACCTGTTAAAAAAAAGCAAAGGATCAATTTCAGTGTCAAGGTCTAACCTGCTTAGTTGGGTGCACTATTCATGGGACTGAATTCTGGGATGGTCCCAGAGGGACAGCCCGCAGTCCTGTTTCTGACTGACCTGATTTTCCTGATCAGACTGACCGACCTGACTGACTGGATTGACCTCATTGACCTGATTGACTGACTTACTGACCTGGCTGACCCGACTGACCCACCTACCTGACCTGCCTGACCTAACTGACCGGACTGACCGATCTAACTTGACTGACCCGGCAGACCTGGCTGACTGGCCTGACTGACCTGACTGACCCACCTACCTAACCTGAGTGTCCCGACTGACCTGACTGACCAGACTGACCGACCTGACTCACTGGATTGACCTGACTGACCCGATTGACTGACTAACATGACTGACTGACATGATTGACCCGACTGACATAACTGACCTGATTGAGAGACTGACATGACTGATCTGATTGACCTGATTGACCTGATTGACTGACTGACATGAATGATTGACCTGATTGATCTGACTGACGTCACTGACCTGACTGAGCCGACTGACCCGACTGATCTGACTGGCCCGACTTTACCTATCTGACCTGATTGACTGACTGACCTGACAGACCTGACTGACCTGACTAACCTGACTGACTGGATGACCCGACTGACCTGACTGACCCGACCGGCCTGACTGACCTGACTGACCCACCTACCTAACCTGAGTGTCCCGACTGACCTGACTGACCAAACTGACCGACCTGACTCACTGGATTGACCTGACTGACCCGATTGACTGACTAACATGACTGACTGACATGATTGACCCGACTGACATAACTGACCTGATTGAGAGACTGACATGACTGATCTGATTGACCTGATTGACCTGATTGACTGACTGACATGAATGATTGACCTGATTGATCTGACTGACGTAACTGACCTGACTGAGCCGACTGACCCGACTGACCTCACCTGACTGGCCCGACTGACCTATCTGACCTGATTGACTGACTGACCTGACAGACCCCCGTAGAACCGCCACTGGATATGTTTATTTCGTTCATTTTCGGAACTTCTCAATTTTGGTTTCCTTTTGTAAAATAATCTCAATTGGAAATGTTAACTATTCGATGAGATGAAATAAATGAGGATCTGATTCTGCAGTATTTTGTCATGTTATAAACTTAGTCTTTTGTAATATCTTTATAATCTTTGCTTGTGCAATACCTTTTTGTGAGTTAATTATCTGATCCTTCCTATTTCACAGATTTCTGTTTTCTCGAGTCTTTTTCTCAATTTCATTCTAAAACCAGAACAGTTCTGTTGCAGTGTTAACGTCGTAACATGAACCTCGAACAAACAGAGCAAATGCTGGAAAATACCTTATGCACCACCAAATACAACATGACATTACGCTAAGTTGTGCACTAATAATATTCTGTGTTATCGAGAACTTACTGTTTCCATCCTTGTGTAATGGTGGGCAAACTTACAAAAAATGAAGAAATATTACCAGAAAAGCCTACCCAACTTTTCACCAAAATTGGCGAGCAGGTGTTGAAGTGTAGATCAAGTGACTTCCCCTCTAGATTTGATGGCGATGTATATCACAATTTAAACACTAAACATGCACAACGCTTGTGCTGGCTGGCCTGTGGTATTCAAGTCACTCCAGAAATCTGAAACCTTCTATAAATTTGGTCAACCACTTGATTAGCTCCTCATCGTAGTAATGTCACACACACAAAGAAAGAAGCAGTACTTTGCGGTCCAGTTTGAAGCAGGCTTCATAACGGTGAGTCAATCTTCATTAACTAATACAACAAATCTAAGGCCAAAAAAAAAAAAGTCGGTCTCTAGTCAGCGCGCGTCGATTTTAATCATGCATGTCAATCTTTTTTTCCCCAAATTTTCCGCGGTATCTACAACAGCGATCTCTATTGCCGCACCACCTCAAATTTTTGTACCAAGGAGCACCAAGGAATGGTGAAATTGCACAAAGGCAAGTGATGGAGGACACCAATGCAAATGATGGACGACACCAATGTTTATGAGGACACAACAAATGCAAATAGTACCCAGTTTGTCTGTACAATCCAAGCTTAAAAAAAAACCAGCCGACCAAAAAAAAAAAAAACCCGCGTCGCCGCATCAATTCCAGAATTGTGGTCTGACCAGAGACCGACTATTTTTTTGGCCTAAGATGAAATGCCTTGACTGATACAACACACTAAAGATTAGCTGCACACCATCAATTAGTGATCTGCGGAAAACATTTTGATACAAACTCCAATTTCAACGAAACACTAACAACCCAAAACAATCTAGTGAGATCACTGCTGAAATCATCTACCAGTCAGTAACTCAGCCAGTCACATGATACAAAGAAGAAATAACGATCCAGCAAAAGATGTGGAGCATTTATGACAAAATTGCAGAAGCTTCATAACAGTGAGTCCATCTTCATTAACTGAAATAACAAATCTGTGATGAAGTCTGTTGGCCGATACAATGCATTGAGGATCAGTTGCATCAAACCAATATGGCTTGACACATTTATTGGAAAGACTCAACTTGAAGGGCAGGTTTAATATTGGAAGAAAATATTGACTGTAGCTCTTGATGAGCATAATAGCCCCTGCAATAAAAAGGTACACATAGTAGCTGACAGTGACAGCATAACTTCATATCTACACTGGGCACCAGTGAGGTAACATCTTGAAATGGTGTTGCCTAAACGTCTCATCGTTGGCTTGATAAGCCTTAGTCTTATGATCAGATGCACTGGTGGTAATGAAAGGTGTGAGGCCTCCATTAGAGGGCGTGTCCTCCTACTTGGAGCCAGTGGGGTGGCAAATGCTACAAGCAACTCAGCGAGAAACTACCATGGGCTGAGGCAAAACAGGAGTGCATCAAGATGGGAAGTGTCTTGGTTATGCCTCAGTCTCAGGAGGAAACTGAGTTCCTTCTGAAGAACCTGATCCACCGGTTTTTGATCGACTGCACTGATCAGCAAGTTGAAGGTTTGTCAACTTATATTGCTTTAAGACTTTAGCAATGAATGAATTCGATTTTCAAAGAAATTCATATTGAACATTTTTTCTCTTCTTTTGGCGAGGAAAGAAATGACAATATTAACATTCAAACTTCAAACAAACATGGTTCTCATTTCTTAAAATCTTCACAGTAAAATCAAACCAAATAAAACCTGACATATGTATTCTGTATGTGTCAGGTACATGGGTGTGTCAGGATGGCACTACTGATGTGGAGTACAGAAACTGGAGGGATGGTGAACCTAATGATCTTAGGGAAGGTGAAGATTGTGCAGCAACGAGACAATCTGGTTGGAATGATGTATTTTGCGAGAAACACGTTGCCACTATCTGCAAACGATCTGCACCACAGCTGCATTTTTAAATGGCAACACAAAGGCTGACTTCTTAAAAAAGAGTAAAGCTTACAAACTTATTTAATTAAGGGAATAAATGTGTGCTCCGGAAGTTTTTATCACTCTGTTTAAGACCACTTAGAGTCTGGGTGCTGATAATTACCCGAGCCGGAGGCGAGGGTAATTATCAGCACCCAGACTCTTAAACACAGTGATAAATACCGACCGAGCACATATTTATTCCCATTCATAAATACCTTTCGGTAAAAGAAAATCAAATAATTTGTTAAAATAATCCCGATTTTGTTCAACAAGTTCACTTCATGCTTTTGAAACACCCCTTTAGCAAAATAATGGAGTGTTCAGCTGGCGAGTAAGATGTAAACAACCCTTTTAAGGAGATTGACGCGCGCGTAGCATGTTCTGTGCGATGTCGCGCAGAACGCACCTGGGGCGTTGCGTTTTGAATTAAGAACTATCTAAACTGTCTGAGGTATTTATGAATACTTAATTAATTAGAAATGAAGGGTATCATGTAGAAAGTATCTTTTATAGTTTATTGTTTGAACCATCGTTAATGTTGAAAACATATTTGCATTGATGGTAGTCCTCAACTTAATACTTGAGAAATCAAAATAATTTGGAAAAAAAATGATTTTACTTATTTACATAGCTTTCTTTCACTTCACAGATTTTAATTTTAATTCCTCATTTTCAATTTCCAGTGTTGCCTGGGCAGTGAGAACCATTGCAACTATTGGCCACACAAATTTTTGGTAAATTAGAATTTCATTTTGAATTCACGTATTTTCTTTCTAAGCTTTTAGAAATCACACTGCTAACGTAGTATTTATTTAAAAAACAATCAAACATAAAATGGATTATGTGTTGCGAATATCAATGAAATCAAATTATTTTGAAAATGAGATGTTTTGTAGCACTGTAAGAATTCACTAACATGACGAAATGGACAATCTGATGCTTCTTGACAATCTTCAATTTCGGAGATTTTCAATTTTCATTTTAGTTTCTCATTCTTAATTTCCAGTGTTGCCTGGGCAATATGAACCAAGGTATCAATTTTCCACACTGACGCGTTTGTTTCGAAATGCAAATTCAATTTTGAATTCACGTTTTTCCTTTCCAGGCTTGAAAAATCACACTGGTGATTTATCAACAAATCAAACATCAAATGGATTATAAACAATGTCGTCGTCAAAGAATTGTAAATGATAAATTAGTTAAATTAATGAGGCCATTGAAAATTTGGAAGCACTGTAACAATTCAATAACATAACAAAACGGAAAATCTGATGTTGCAGTACTTAGTCCAACGATACAAAATACTTCAAGTCGAATGTCGTTGTTGCTTGTGGAGCCCAGTTTATCTGAGCTATTAGTATAAATCGTTCAACTCTTTGTCTCAATTTCTATTTCAGCCAAATCAGCACTGTAAGTGTTACACGCTGTAAGTGTTACTCTTGTTAATAGCGCAGTTTACTTTTATTACATTTTTGGTGACATATTTATCGAATTCGCTATTTTGCTATATACCGGACATCTTTTATTTATTGATGTATTTCTCTAAAGGAGTATGAAATAAATGCTTCTTGAATTGAATTGAATTAAATTGAAATTGAATAATATGAGACAGTGTTTTTTTTTTTTTTTTACAGTGACCTTCGTTTAGCATAACGATCTTGGAAGAGCACCAGTGGAATGGATAGCAACGTCACTCCACCATACAAGTAGAAAGCTATGTTGAAACTCCCGGTCCACTCGTTAATCCAACCTGTTAAAAAAAAGCAAAGGATCAATTTCAGTGTCAAGGTCTAACCTGCTTAGTTGGGTGCACTATTCATGGGACTGAATTCTGGGATGGTCCCAGAGGGACAGCCCGCAGTCCTGTTTCTGACTGACCTGATTTTCCTGATCAGACTGACCGACCTGACTGACTGGATTGACCTCATTGACCTGATTGACTGACTTACTGACCTGGCTGACCCGACTGACCCACCTACCTGACCTGCCTGACCTAACTGACCGGACTGACCGATCTAACTTGACTGACCCGGCAGACCTGGCTGACTGGCCTGACTGACCTGACTGACCCACCTACCTAACCTGAGTGTCCCGACTGACCTGACTGACCAGACTGACCGACCTGACTCACTGGATTGACCTGACTGACCCGATTGACTGACTAACATGACTGACTGACATGATTGACCCGACTGACATAACTGACCTGATTGAGAGACTGACATGACTGATCTGATTGACCTGATTGACCTGATTGACTGACTGACATGAATGATTGACCTGATTGATCTGACTGACGTCACTGACCTGACTGAGCCGACTGACCCGACTGATCTGACTGGCCCGACTTTACCTATCTGACCTGATTGACTGACTGACCTGACAGACCTGACTGACCTGACTAACCTGACTGACTGGATGACCCGACTGACCTGACTGACCCGACCGGCCTGACTGACCTGACTGACCCACCTACCTAACCTGAGTGTCCCGACTGACCTGACTGACCAAACTGACCGACCTGACTCACTGGATTGACCTGACTGACCCGATTGACTGACTAACATGACTGACTGACATGATTGACCCGACTGACATAACTGACCTGATTGAGAGACTGACATGACTGATCTGATTGACCTGATTGACCTGATTGACTGACTGACATGAATGATTGACCTGATTGATCTGACTGACGTAACTGACCTGACTGAGCCGACTGACCCGACTGACCTCACCTGACTGGCCCGACTGACCTATCTGACCTGATTGACTGACTGACCTGACAGACCTGACTGACCTGACTAACATGACTGACTGGCTGACCCGACTGACCTGACTGACCTTACTGACCTGACTGACCCGACTGACCTGACTAACCTGACTGACCTGCTTGACCAGACTGACCTGACTGACTGACAGACCTGATCTTTGACTCACCTAGGAACAGTTTAATAGGAGCAAAAATCAACAAGTAGGCCTACTGTATAAAACAAGGGATAGAGCACATTGTGCTTACCCGCGACCAGTCCTCCAAGACCCTCAGCCATTCCAATACACAAGCCCTGCCAGCCCAGTGCATTAACCAATCGGTCATCCGTGAAGATGAACCGAACGATGACGTCCATTGCTTGAATTGATATACCGTAACCTACACCGAGCAAGCCTGTAACCACCATCTGGCCCATGAACGGTGTGACGAAGGCGTCCAGGAGCAACGATACACACACGACACAAGACGCGAAACACGCCCAGAATGTCATGGAAACCTTGATGCCCATCTGCTGCAGAAGGGGCATAACCAACTTGCCGATGATGTTTCCCGAGCCGAAGAAAGTAGGCAGAAACGACGCCTGCATTTTGCTCAGCCCTTGAAGCTGACCGTGCGAGACCATGTACACCACGACTCCGCTGTAGGCAAAGCTAGTTGCACATCTCGACGACACTACCAAAATGAACCCCATATCTTTCAGAACGGCGAAATCGAAAGCTTTCAGGACGCTCTGGCAACAAACCCTAGCCCAACCTCCTGAGAGAGTCTGACGAGTGTCACTTGAGATGTTTGTTCGGTTAGTACCACGAAAACTCCCATCTTCGCTCGGGCTATTTTCTTCTTCATCGCTTTGCGTAACTTCTTGGTACTGTTCAGTATCTGCTGAAGAGGAAGCATTCCGTCGCACCAACATACTACACGCAACTAGATGGAACGAGAAACCTCCCAGCAAAAGCATGGTTCCTCTCCAGCCATAGGCATCCCCAAGCATCTGGGTTACGGGCCCATAGGCCATCACACCCACAGGAATTCCCATTGTTGAGAGTCCCACAGCTAATGCGTATTTCTTCTTGAAATATGACGCCATCACGGCGAAACTAACGAACAAAATCAGGGCTGACCCAACCCCTGCAAAGAAAGAAGAAAGTAACATGAATATAAAATAAAAAGGTTATCATCTTTGTTCAGTATTACGTAAAGTTTTGTTTTTCAGGAAGGCGAAATCCCTGTTTCCAGTCCCTGTTTCAAAGCTATGGCAGGAGCTTCTGCATGTCATTTGGTGGTCGGTTGGTTTGTCTGTCTATGTGTCTTCCCCCGAAAAATTACGAAAAAGATTTGACCAAAAATTATTGACTGATTGACCAAATGCCATGCCGTGGTCATAAAATGCACTCTTGACGAAAGTTTTCGGAGCACGATTTTGTTTCGATCGATGCGCATGCGCGTTTATTTGCAAAGGCCTATGTCTGTCCGAGAAAACTGACCAAAATAACCCCCAAAAGTTCCCCACAAAATGTAACTGCCAAATCGAAATATTCAATCAATGTAATACTTAACGAAAATGTTTGTTCCAATTCGGAAAGATTATGAAAGTTTGTGAATGGAGGCAAAATATGTGCAGTAATGTTATAGTCACGTGGTATTTTGTGTAGTGGTTGGACGGTATCCAGAAGGAGGAAATGTCCCCACAATTTACCAAAAGTACAGTGTTCTATAATATGCCATCGGCGTTGCCCTTTCCTCAAGAGCTAATTGTGCCACAATTGTTAGATGAAAAATGTGTTTGGACGTCTGTGAAGTGTTAGTAGCTGTGCATGCCTGTGTAAAGAGACAATATAAATTTTGTATGGTTAAAATTTTTGTAAAGTGCACTTTCTGAATCATTTCTGTTCCAAGATGTTCATGACATCTGAGGGCGCCGTTGCTGTGATGTCATTATGAGGCACGTTCTCTTCTGTTTAGAGTATGAACCCAAACATTTGCTCACTTCTGCATAAAGTTTGTCATTGACTCACTTCCACACCTCACAGCACTGGGCAATAAGTTAGCACGTCAGCCTAAATAAGGCACGATGCTGAAGTACATGTATCACATTACAAATAGTTTTAAAGAAAGCTGACACCAAACTATCCGCTTACAAAAACATCATCAGTATGGTGAATGCATTATCAGTCCGTGCATTTATAATGAGTGCATTCTGAAACCCAAAACTGAATGGCGGATAAAAGTGAAGTATATAAACAGAAGAACCAGAGCGTCACCAAAGAATTTGTTATTACTCTTTCTCTTGTTAACAAACGCTGCAGTATATTGCAAAACAAATAACAAATATGTCGGCACGCATTTAAAAGTCACTTGTCTATATACCTAGACCACTTTTGTTTACAACATGCAAAAAAGGAAGCAAAGAGTATTAATCAAACCCACGAGATGTACAGTGAATAACATTGTATTTGAAATGGCAAATGTACAATGTAATGCCGTGCTCGGTGTCAATGGTTCTCTTAACATTGATGACACAAAGGAACTAAAATTGAGGAATTTCACTTGACGTCACATGTCAGTCGGGTCACCGACACGCCCGCCATATATTGGACTCCTACGGTTGCAGACCAACAAATAAACTGCCATAGAACATAAACCCACTCTCGAAATTCAGGGAAAATATGCTCCCACCTCTCCAAGGTGTTTGAGACACACAAATTAATGACGGATCACCTTTCATTTTCTGTTCATCTTGCGGCGGTTAATGTACATGTACTGAACGATCGACGAGCGCCGCGCTAGACGTAAAATGACGGATATTTTACCGTTCACGTGATAAGGTCACGTGGATGCAAAACCTCAATAAGACTGACTACCTGCTAGCCCAACAATGAAAACGGCCATTGCAAAAACGTTGGGTGATATCGCCGTCAAGATGATGCCCAACGTTAGAAGCACTGCACCAAACACCATCATCGGACGGACGCCCAGCAGACGGCACAGAGCTCCGACAATAGGTCCTGGGATGGAGAAAGTCAAATCCAAATGTTGAAAATCGATATACTGTTGGCTATAATCAGCTGAATCAACAAGACTCACTTTTTAATTTTATAATGCTGCAATGAAAATGCTTCAATGACAGCACCTTGACCACAATGTTTAGTGTTTTATATTATTTATAAAATCTTGCGCTTCCTATACAACGCCTGGAAAAAATCCCGTCATCTGATTGGTGGGTCGTTGATCACGTGTCATTGAATTATTCGCCCCAACCCAGCTGCACTGCAGAAATGGAAGTTCCATTGGACGGTCACACTATTGGCGGCTCTGACCAATCAGATGACGAGGATTTATTCAGGCGTTGTATGAAACCAATAATGAATGTTTCACATTCGTGCAATGGAAAGAATGTTTTCATTCGGTGACAGATAGATGTTCCTTTCCACTCGGCATTGCCTCAATGAACGGAACATGCCATCTGTCACCTCATGAAATTATTCTGAAAATGGAAAGAACTCTATACATATCACTGATTTTCCCTGCAGTGACATATCAGCCATCAGAAAGCGATTACATGTCCTAAAAAGTCAAATTTTGCAGCGAAAATATTGAAACATTTATTGAGAAAACACCTTTTAGACCAGTCTTATGGGGTTTGTGTACAGGGTGTCAAGTGCATGTCAAGGTATGGAATTCTTTTCAATACCATTGCACTCACAAACATTCATTGTTGTACAGCAATATATTCAGATTAGGTCGAAGTCGTTTGAATTTTTGGATGAGACCCCATACCGAAAATCGCAAATTAATGAGGATTAAGCACGAGTGTTTAGATCAGCCGAAGTGTGATGCTAGCTCTGCCGAACAAACAAAAGCGACGACACAAGTTTCGAATACATAGACAGAGCATGGACATCAACCCGGTATAAGTGATAAAAAGTCTAAATTTCATATTTAGGAAAAACAACTTGGACAGATTCCCATATCTGGCCATCACTAATTGTTCCCGTCAGTGACCTATCAGCCGTCAGAAAGTGATAATATGCCATAAAAAGTCAATTTTAGCAGGGAAAATATTGTTTTGTTTTTACTGAGAAAACACTTGATGGCCAGATATGGGAATAATTCCAAAAAACAACTTACCGAGACAATTCTGCATTAGTAGGTACAAGACTGCCAACCAACCGATAAGCCAGAGCTCGCTGTCTAGGTCGCGGGTGATTGGAATGAGGAGAACGCCCAACGCCTTGGTGTAACCCATGATCACGGCCCAATTGAGAAACGTTACCGCCACCATGACCCAGCCATACTTGTCGTGGTCGTAATTATTAACAGGTCCGTTTTCTGGTGATGACATTCTGGAAACTGACCAATTAAATCGATGAAAGACAAAAAAGATACCCAACAGGTAATACCATGCAACAGCGTGTAATTACCTGGTCACTTTTTGAGTAGATGTTGAAATCAACTAAACTATTGGGTCTGTAGTATATTTATAGCTATACTCAGTACGAAAGTTGTTGTCAACTCACCAAGGTATTTGTCCGTGAATTGGGCACGAGTCCACTCGCTCGGTCTTCTCGCCTCGGGACGAATACCGACTCTGGTCGATCGCGATATCTCTCCTGGCGCGGATGCACGAACCACAGTTCGTATAGAGTTTTTATCCACGAGGATTGTTCAGGACACAAACAGATGATAACTGACTTGACGAAAACACACGAAGACGATGATAAACGTTGGTAAAATTATGCTGAAGATTGGTGCTCAAAAAATGTCAAAACGCGATAACTCCTAACTTTTCACCAACAGCCAGAACACATGGAAAAACCCACACGGAACACATGTGGACGCACCCGCGAATTTATATGTACATTACAGGGTACCAGTCAAAGATGTTCGCTGGCGTTGATTGGCGAGTTCTTTACATGTGACGCCAATGTTGTTATTTACATTAAGTCGCGTTATGGTTAAAGGGGCAGTCACTACAGGTCTAATGCCGTTTGGCATTCAGCCACGATTAAACTAACCACAACTGCTCAGTGAACCGTGTTTTTGCTATGGCTATTGGAACTGTGTTATCATTTACATCTTCACTCTTCTGTGACTTTAAAAGGGATGATAACACACTGCATGAATTACGTTTTCGTTAGGATGAAAATGGCCTCTTTTCAACTTGTAGCGATATTCAGACTCAACGCGCATAAATCCATTCCGAACTGTACATGCAGGTAGGCTTAGGGGGTTAAAGATATTATCGATATAATGAACACTGTCTTTAATAACGTCTTTATGGATTAGGGAAACAGCGCTATCTGATCGGACGGTGTAAATATACAATGCATGGTATGCAGTCAGGACCATAACACAAATGTACGTGTACATATTGTGCACACCGCGCCGAGTGAGTCGACGCTGAAAGCTTGTATTTTTCTACGACCACCTCACACATTAATATATTTTTAACTGGATAGTTCTGGCGGTAATGTGGAAGAATATTGGGCAATTGGTATTGCACCTGAATAACAAAATATGACAAGGTAAATGTCAATGCACGGAAGCACTGAGTTATTAATTGTTACTACATCTCATAAATATTCATGATCAAATTGGAGCGCGTCATTGGCCGAATCCGCCGCGCGTCCGGGAAGTAAAAATGATACGCGCCCAGGTGACGTCATTCCGGTGAGTATCCAGCTCGCTGCCGTGCGGTAGTTTTTCTGGTAGCAGTAGTGGGGGGGGGGGGGGGGGGGGGGACACCATCTTCCATGGGGGCGCTGTTCAAAACCTATATCATGGTTAATATTGAGACAAATACTGCTAATTGCTTTCTCAGACGTGCACTCGCGAAATGAAAGGGTTTAGGTGAAAAATACGCACAAAATCGCGGGAAAAGGGACTTTATGTTCTTCCAGCTAATCATGGTAACTCATACGGCTGTGTTTTTCTCCGGATGCCAAATGTCCAGTGGTGTGTGTGTGTGTGTGTGTGTGTGAGTTTGTGTTACATACCCTATGTGGACTTGTGAACAAAAGAGGTCCACATAATGCAGGTTGTGTGAACCTTATGTGGACTAAGTCGTGTCCACATAAGGTTTTGCCCTTTCTGGAAAACAGGTTTAGAGGCATTTTTGGGTTAGGTTTATCCGTAGCAGAATGAAAAGAAACACTATAGGGAATCATAGAAAAAAAATTGGGTTAGAAGAGTTTTCACAGTTTAAGTAAAGTTATTTTTTGTACCGAGTTTTCTTAACTACACGAAAACAAAGCAATGTCCACACAAGGTATGTAACGTAAGTCTGGGTGTGTGGGTCTGGGTGTGTGAGCTTGTCTTACATACGCAGTTTGGACTTCCGAACAAAAGACGTCCACATAATGTAGGTAGCACCGACGTTGTGTGGACTTGCCCACGTCCACACAGTGTTTCCCCATTTCTGGAAAACAGGTTTAGAGGCATTTTTGGGTTAGGTTTATCTGTAGCAGAATGAAGAGAAACACTAAAGGGAATCATAGAAAAAAAATTGGGTTGAAAGAGTTTTCACAGTTTGAGAAAAATGAGTTTTTTCACTGGTTTTTCTTAACTACACGAAAGCAATGGAAAGTCCACACTAGTCATGTGAAACAAGTGTGGGTGGGTGTGTGGGTGGGTGTGTGTGTGTGTTGGGGGGGGGGGCGACTGGGAGGGGGCGCGAACTTTTTATGGGGGGGGGGCGTGTGCCCCCCCCCCCCCCCGCCCCCCCCCCCCCCCCCCGGCCCCCCCCCCCCCCCCCGGCCCCCCCCCCCCCCCCCCCCCCCCCCCCCCCCCCCCCCCCCCAGCTACGCTGCGTCTGGAGAGGCTTCGTTTGCTTTGTTCAATCGGAAGATCGACCAAGGTAGGTAGGTAGGTTACGCATCCACTTTTGCTAGGACAATAAAGTCATTACGTCTGGGTCACCACTCACCAATGGCATGACACAGTTTTAATGGAAGACTTTTGGAACGATTGGTGGCAGCAAACACCTGTCATAGTTTTCAGTTGTTTACGGCATGTTTAAGCTAATGTGCGCATGCTCAAAATGACGCAAACAATATAAAAGGGCGGTGTGTTTACTGCCACCAAGCGTCTCAAAGTCTCCCAGTTATACATCACACGCCATTATGCCGTCTATCGCTTCAATGTAGTTAATTGAGACTACATGTACTATCTGTGTTATCTATCAGTCTCCATCATTTTGAACACATAAAGTTACTCCGTGGCATCGCTGCCAGCGGAGCAAAACTTATTTGATTTCCCGTATTATCAAATACAAATAGACTATGACCTTTAATAGAACCATTTGTGCTCGAGCAGTACACAAAAATGGTCGCTCTTAAGGGCATATCATTTGGTTTACAAGCATTTTGTTCTTTTCAATAGTAACATTACTCACAATCCAAAAAGAAGAATGTACAAAACTGACCTAACAAGTTGAAGTTTCAGCTCAGTGGATATTACATTACACAAGAAAACAATGCAGAACCAGCTCAGTGCATATAACTCTATACGAGTTATATAAGAGGGGCGTGTCCTCCTGCTTGGAGCCAGTGGGGTGGCAAATGCTACAAGCAACTCAGCGAGAATCTACCATGGGCTGAGGCAAAACAGGAGTGCATCAAGATGGGAAGTGTCTTGGTCATGCCACAGTCTCAGGAGGAAACTGAGTTCCTTCTGAAGAACCTGATCCACCGGTTTTGGATCGACTTCAATGATCAGCAAGTTGAAGGTTTGTCAACTTATATTGCTTTAAGACTATAGCAATGAATGAATTCTACTTTCAAAGAAATTCATACTGAACATTTTTTTCTCTCCTTTTGGCGAGGAAAGAAATGACAATATAAACATTCAAACTTCAAATAAACATGGTTCTCATATCTTAAAAGCTTCACAGTAAAATCAAACCAAATCAAACCTGACATATGTATTCTGTGTGTGTCAGGTGCATGGGTGTGTCAAGATGGCACTACTGATGTGGAGTACAGAAACGGGAGGGAGGTGAACCTAATGATCTTAGGGAAGGTGAAGATTGTGCAGCAACGAGAAAATCTGGTTGGAATGACGTATTTTGCGAGAAACACGTTGCCACTATCTGCAAACGATCTGCACCACAGCTACATTTTTAAATGGCAACACAAAGGCTGACTTCTTAAAAAAGAGTAAAGCTTACAAACTTATTTAATTAAGGGAATAAATGTGTGCTCCGGAAGTTTTTATCACTCTGTTTAAGACCACTTAGAGTCTGGGTGCTGATAATTACCCGAGCCGGAGGCGAGGGTAATTATCAGCACCCAGACTCTTAAACACAGTGATAAATACCGACCGAGCACATATTTATTCACATTCATAAATACCTTTCGGTAAAAGAAAATCAAATAATTTGTTAAAATAATCCCGATTTTGTTCAACAAGTTCACTTCATGCTTTTGAAACATCCCTTTAGCAAAATAATGGAGTGTTCAGCTGGCGAGTAAGATGTAAACAACCCTTTTAAGGAGATTGACGCGCGCGTAGCATGTTCTGTGCGATGTCGCGCAGAACGCACCTGGGGCGTTGCGTTTTGAATTTAGAACTATCTAAACTGTCTGAGGTATTTATGAATACTTAATTAATTAGAAATGAAGGGTATCATGTAGAAAGTATCTTTTATAGTTTATTGTTTGAACCATCGTTAATGTTGAAAAAATATTTGCATTGATGGTAGTCCTCAACTTAATACTTGAGAAATCAAAATAATTTGGAAAAAAATGATTTTACTTATTTCAATAGCTTTCTTTCACTTCACAGATTTTAATTTTAATTCCTCATTTTCAATTTCCAGTGTTGCCTGGGCAGTGAGAACCATTGCATCTATTGGCCACACAGATTTTTGTTAAATTAGAATTTCATTTTGAATTCACGTATCTCCTTCTAAGCTTTTAGAAATCACACTGGTAACGTAATATTTATTTTAAAAAATAGAATGGATTATGTAAAATGTAATGGTCAAAGTGTTGCGAATATCAATGAAATAAAATCATTTTGAAAATGGGATGTTTTGTAGCACTGTAACAATTCACTAACAAAACAAAATGGACAATCTGATGCTTTTTGACAATCTTCAATTTCGGAGATTTTCACTTTTCATTTTAGTTTCTCATTCTTAATTTCCAGTGTTGCCTGGGCAATATGAACCAATGTATCAATTTTCCACACAGACGCGTTTGTTTCGAAATACAAATTCAATTTTGAATTCACGTTTTTTTTTTAATTCACACTGGTGATTTATCAACAAATCAAACATCAAATGGATTATAAACAATGTCGTCAAAGAATTGTAAATGATTAATTCGTCACCGACACCACGAAGTAACACTCTACCGTGTTAAGGCCAAAATAAAAAAATATTCGGTCTCTTGTCAGACCAAAGTTCCGGAATTGATGCGGCCAGGCGGCTTTTTTTTTTTTTTTTTTTTTCAAGCTTGGATTGTACAGACAAGGTGGGTACTATTTTGCTTTTTTGGTGTCCTCATGTACATTGATGTCCTCCATAATTTGCCTTGGTGCTTTCGATCATTTGCCTTGGTGCAATTTCCCATTCCCTGGTGCTCTTTGGTAAAAAAAATTGAGGAGGTGCGGAAAAAGAGGGCGCTGTTGGAGCTACCGCGGAACATTTTGGAAAAAAAAAAGATCGACGCGCATGATTAAAATCGACGCGCGCGCTGACCAGAGACCGACTTATTATTTTTTTTGGCCTAAACCATATTTTTTTAGATTTTCAGTTTTTGGATTTTTAAAAAATTATTCATCAAGGCCTACCATTGCACGAAGTTTCAAAGCTTCAGGAGCTTTACTTTAATAATTACGCTAAGTATCCATGGCAACTTTTGCGCAAAAGTGACAGTTTTCGTTTTCACGAAGTAACACTCAAGTTCCATTTACCATTGCAATGCATGGCGCGCACTCTGCTCAAATGCGAGCAAAAACGTTTTCACGAAGTAACACTCTTCTAGTGTTGTAATACATTGAAGCGTGCTACTTCATGAAAACGAAATTTTACAGTTTCGCAGCTTTTTGGGTTTCACGAACTTTGGGTTTCTTTTTTCTTGTTGTTTTAATACAAAAACGGGTGAAAAACAGCAAATTTAATAACATCAATACATCAAGTGTCTACAACGAGAAACCCAACTGAAAATACTCTGTAGTTTTGACGCAAAGTGTTGTTCTAGAAGGCGTTCAACATTAGATGCCGTTTTCTCCGATTGCTAGCTTTTACCGGTATGTACATGAATGTTACTTCGTGGTGTCGGTGACGAATTAGTTAAATCAATGGAGCAATTGAAAATTTGGAAGCACTGTAACCATTCAATAACATAACAAAATGGAAAATCTGACGTTGCAGTACTTAGTCCAACGGTACAAAATACTTCAAGTCAAATGTCTTTGTTGCTTGTGGAGCCCAGTTTATCTGAGCTATTAGTATAAATCTTTCAACTCTTTGTCTCAATTTCAATTTCAGCCAAATCAGCACTGTAAGTGTTACACGCTGTAAGTGTTACTCTTGTTTATAGCGCAGTTTACTTGTATTTCATTTGTGTGTGACATATTTATCGAATTCGCTATTTTGCTATATATCAGTCATCTTTTGTTTATTGATGTATTTCTCTAAAGGAGTATGAAATAAATGCTTCTTGAATTGAATTGAATTGAAATTGAATAATATGAGAAAGTGTTTTTTTACAGTGACCTTCGTTTAGCATAAAGATCTTGGAAGAGCAACAGTGGAATGGATATCAACGTCACTCCACCATACAAGTAGAAAGCTATGTTGAAACTCCCGGTCCACTCGTAAATCCAACCTGTTAAAAAAAGCAATGGAACAATTTCAGTGTCAATGTCTAACCTGCTTAGCTGGGTACACTATTCATGGGACGAATTCTGGGATGGTCCCAGAGGGACAGCCTGCAGTCCTGTTTCTGACTGACCTGATTTTCCTGACCAGACTGACCGACCCGACTGACCGGATTGACCTCATTGACCTAACTGACCTGACTCACCTGACTGACCTGACTGACCTGATTGCCACTGACTAACTGACCTGGCTGACCTGGCTGACCCACCTACCTGACCTGACTGACCTAACTGACCTGACTGACCTATCTAACTTGACTGACCCGACAGACCCGATTGACCTGACTGACCTGACTGGACTGACTGACTGGCCTGACTGACCTGACTGACCCACCTACCTAACCTGAGTGTCCCGACTGACCTGACTGACCAGACTGACCGACCTGACTCACTTACCTATCTGACCTGATTGACTGACTGACCTGACAGACCTGACTAACCTGACTGACTGGCTGACCCGACTGACCTGACTGACCCGACTGGCCTGACTGACCTGACTGACCCACCTACCTAACCTGAGTGTCCCGACTGACCTGACTGACCAGACTGACCGACCTGACTCACTGGATTGACCTGACTGACCCGATTGACTGACTAACATGACTGACTGACATAATTGACCTGACTGACGTAAATGACTGATCTGATTGACCTGATTGACCTGATTGACTGACTGACATGAATGATTGACCTGATTGATCTGACTGACGTAACTGACCATACTGAGCCGAATGATCTGACCTGACCGACCTGACTGGCCCGACTAACCTATCTGACCTGATTGACTGACTGACCTGACAGACCTGACTCCCTTGACTAACCTGACTGACTGGCTGACGCGACTGACCTGACTAACCTGACTGACATGCTTGACCTTACTGTTCCGCTTGACCTGACTGACCTGACAGACCTGACTGACCTGACTGACCTGACTGACTGACAGACCTGATCTTTGACCCACCTAGGAACAGTTTAATAGGAGCAAAAAGTCAACAAGTAGGCCTACTGTATAAAGTCAAGGGATAGAGCACATTGTGCTTACCCGCGACCAGTCCTCCAAGACCCGCAGCCATTCCAGTACAGAAGCCCTGCCAGCCCAGTACATTAACCAATCGGTCATCCGTGAAAATGAACCGAACGATGACGTCCATTGCTTGAATTGATATACCGTAACCTACACCGAGCAAGCCCGTAACCACCATCTGGCCCATGAACGGTGTGACGAAGGCGTCCAGGAGCAATGATACACACACGACACACGACGCAAAACACGCCCAGAATGTCATGGATACCTTGATGCCCATCTGCTGCAGAAGGGGCATAACCAACTTGCCGATGATGTTTCCCGAGCCGAAGGAAGTAGGCAGAAACGACGCCTGCATTTCGCTCAGCCCTTGAAGCTGACCGTGCGAGACCATGTACACCACGACACCGCTGTAGGCAAAGGTAGGAGCACATCTCGACGACACTACCAAAATGAACTGCATGTCTGTCAGAACGGCAAAATCGAAAGCTTTCAGGACGCTCTGGCAACAAACCCTCGCCCAACCTCCTGAGAGAGTTTGACGAGTGTCACTCGAGATGTTTGTTCGGTTAGTACCACGAAAACTCCCATCTTCGCTCGGGCAATTTTCTTCTTCATCGCTTTGCGTAACTTCTTGGTACTGTTCAGTATCTGCTGAAGAGGAAGCGTTCCGTCGCACCAACATACTGCACGCAACTAGATGGAACGAGAAACCTCCCAGCAAAAGCATGGTTCCTCTCCAGCCATAGGTATCCACAAGCATCTGGGTTACGGGCCCATAGGCCATCACACCCACAGGAATGCCCATTGTTGAGAGTCCCACAGCTAATGCGTATTTCTTCTTGAAATATGACGCCATCACGGCGAAACTAACGAACAAAATCAGCGCTGAACCAACCCCTGCAAAGAAAGAAGAGAGCAACATGAATATAAAATAAAAATGTTATAATCTTTGTTCAGTATTACGTAAAGTTTTGTTTTTCAGGAAGGCGAAATCCCTGTTTCCAGTCCCTGATTCAAAGCTATGGCAGGAGCTTCTGCATGTCATTTGGTGGTCGGTCGGTTTGTCTGTCTATGTGTCTTTCCTCGAAAAATTACGAAAAAGATTTGACCAAACATTATCGACTAATTGACCAAATGCCATGCCGTGGTCATAAATTGCACTCTTGACGAAAGTTTTCGGAGCACGATTTTGTTTCGATCATGCGCATGCGCGTTTATTTTGCAAAGGCCTATGTATGTCCGGGAAAACTGACCAAAATAACCCCCAATGCGGAAAATTTTTTTTAATGCTGTGATGTCATTATAAGGCACGCTCTCTTCTCTTTGAGTATGAACCCAAACATTTGCTCACTCCTGATCCTTGATAAAGTTTGTCATTGACTCACTTCCATGTTCTGCAACTACAATGAATCACCAAAAACAAACAACAATTTCCAAAGTAAACATTTTTCAGTATTTCAACATTCGCATGCGCACAATGATATGGGTCACGGGTCATTTGGGATAATCGAACGACGCTCAACACTGCAAAAATGAAGAAGAGTTATTACAGATCACCAAAATATTATTTGATACTTGAAAATACATCATTTTCAACAAAGCTACAAAATAATTCCTACATTTGCCTTTTTATTATGTGTTGATGGCGTTATGAGGACTTTTTTGGAAAAATATGTTGCCAATCATGGCTTCAATGCATGCGCTTACGGCAGCCCATACAAAATGGCGCCAATGTTTACAAACAAAATAAATGCCTATACACATGTGTATATGGAGATCAATGGATGGCGCATTACAAGATGGAATAGATGGCGCAGCAAGATCGTACCCATGGAAACGATGTTGGACCCTCGCAACCAGCGGAATGGGCGTTCGCGTAACATCGCGTATTGGTATTATCGCGTCGGCGATTTTATCCCGGTTGACCTTTGACCTGGACTTCTTCATCGAGATACCGAACTGGCATATTCTCAACGGGATACATCAAAATAATATCCGAGGTAAACTAGAAATTCAACACCAAACATATTATTATATTCGACATATGCTAGCCAGCATTTTATCCATTAACCTCGTTGCAATTTCCCCTCATTTTTTTTTCTGGTTCAGAAACAGAGAATGGTTTGACCCACACCTCACAGCACTGGGCAATAAGTTAGTACGTCAGCCTAAATAAGGCACGATGCTGAAGTATGTATCACATTACAAATAGTTTTAAAGAAAGCTGAAACCAAACTATCCGCTTACAAAAACATCATCAGTATAGTGAATGCATTATCAGTCCGTGCATTTATACTGAGTGCATTCTGAATCCCAAAACTGAATGGCGGATAAAAGTGAAGTATATAAACAGAAGAACCAGAGCGTCACCACAGAATTTGTTATTACTCTTTCACTTGTTAACAAACGCTGCAGTATATTGCAAAACAAATAACAAATATGTCGGCACGCATTTAAAAGTCACTTGTCTATATACCTAGACCACTTTTGTTTACAACATGCAAAAAAGGAAGCAAAGAGTAATAATCAAACCCACGAGATGTACAGTGAATAACATTGTATTTGAAATGGCAAATGTACAATGTAATGCCGTGCTCGGTGTCAATGGTTCTCTTAACATTGATGTCACAAAGGCACTAAAATTGACGTCACATGTCAGTCGGGTCACCCACACGCCCGCCATATATTGGACTCCTACGGTTGCAGACCAACAAATAAACTGCCATAGAACATAAACCCACTCTCGAAATTCAGGGAAAATATGCTCCCAACTCTCCAAGGTGTTTGAGACACAAATTAATGACGGATCACCTTTCATTTTCTGTTCATCTTGGCGGTTAATATACATGTACTGAACGATCGATCGAGCGCCGCGCTAGACGTAAAATGACGGATATTTTACCGTTCACGTGATAAGGTCACGTGGATGCAAAACTTCAATAAGACTGACTACCTGCTAGTCCAACAATGAAAACGGCCATTGCAAAAACGTTGGGTGATATCGCCGTCAAGATGATGCCCAACGTAAGAAGCACTGCACCAAACACCATCATCGGACGGACGCCCAGCAGACGGCACAGAGCTCCGACAATAGGCCCTGGAAAGGAGAAAGTCAAATCCAAATGTTGAAAATCGATAAACTGTTGGCTATAATCAGCTGAATCAACAAGACTCACTTTTTAATTTTATAATGCTGCAATGAAAATGCTTCAATGACAGCACCTTGACCACAATGTTTAGTGTTTTATATTTATTTATAAAATCTTGCGCTTCTATACAGCGCCTGGAAAAAATCCCGTCATCTGATTGGTGGGTCGTTGATCACGTGTCATTGAATTATTCGCCCCAACCCAGCTGCACTGCAGAAATGGAAGTTCCATTGGACGGTCACACTATTGGCGGCTCTGACCAATCAGATGACGAGGATTTATTCAGGCGTTGTATAAAACCAATAATGAATGTTTCACATTCGTGCAATGGAAAGAATGTTTTCATTCGGTGACAGATGGATGTTCCTTTCCACTCGGCATTGCCTCAATGAACGGAACATTCCATCTGTCACCTCATGAAATTATTCTGAAAATGGAAAGAACTCTATACATATCACTGATTTTTCCCTGCAGTGACATATCAGCCATCAGAAAGCGATTACATGTCCTAAAAAGTCAAATTTTGCAGGGAAAATATTGAAACATTTATGAGAAAACACCTTTCAGACCAGTCTTATGGGGTTTGTGTACAGGGTGTCAAGTGCATGTCCAGGTATGGGATTCTTTCAAATACCATTGCACTCACAAACATTCATTATTGTACAGCAATATATTCAGATTAGGTCGAAGTCTTTTGAATTTTTGGATGAGACCCCATACCGAAAATCGCGAATTAATGAGGATTTAGCATGAGAGTATATATATATATATATCGATAGCCGAAGTGTGATGCTAGCTCTGCCGAACAAACAAAAGGGACGACGCAAGTATCGAATACATAGACATAGCATGGGCATCAACCCGGTATAAGTGATAAAAAGTCTAAATTTCATATTTAGGAAAAACAACTTGGACAGATTCCCATATCTGGCCATCACTAATTTTTCCCGTCAGTGACCTATCAGAGCCGTCAGAAAGTGATAATATGCCATAAAAAGTCAATTTTAGCAGGGAAAATATTGTTTTGTTTTTACTGAGAAAACACTTGATGGCCAGATATGGGAATAATTCCAAAAACAACTTACCGAGACAAAACTGCATAAGGATGTACAAGACTGCCAACCAACCGATAAGCCACAGCTCACTATCTAAGTCGCGGGTGATTGGAATGAGGAGGACGCCCAACGCCTTGATGTTACCCATGATCACGGCCCAATTGAGAAACGTTACCGCCACCATGACCCAGCCATACTTGTCGTGGTCGTAATTATTAACAGGTCCGTTTTCTGGTGATGACATTCTGGAAACTGACCAATTAAATCGATGAAAGACAAAAAAGATACCCAACAGGTAATACCATGCAACAGCGTGTAATTACCTGGTCACTTTTTGAGTAGATGTTGAAATCAACTAAACTATTGGGTCTGTAGTAAATTTATAGCTATACTCAGTACGAAAGTTGTTGTCAACTCACCAAGGTATTTGTCCGTGAATTGGGCACGAGTCCACTCGCTCGGTCTTCTCGCCTCGGGACGAATACCGACTCTGGTCGATCGCGATATCTCTCCTGGCGCGGATGCACGAACCACAGTTCGTATAGAGTTTTTATCCACGAGGATTGTTCAGGACACAAACAGATGATTACTGACTTGAAGAAAACACACGAAGACGATGATAAACGTTGGTAAAATTATGCTGAAGATTGGTGCTAAAAAAATGTCAAAACGCGATAACTCCTAACTTTTCACCAACAGCCAGAACACATGGAAAAACCCACACGGAACACATGTGGACGCACCCGCGAATTTATATGTACATTACAGGGTACCAGTCAAAGATGTTCGCTGGCGTTGATTGGCGAGTTCTTTACATGTGACGCCAATGTTGTTATTTACATTAAGTCGCGTTATGGTTAAAGGGGCAGTCACTACAGGTCTAATGCCGTTTGGCATTCAGCCACGATTAAACTAACCACAACTGCTCAGTGAACCGTGTTTTTGCTATGGCTATTGGAACTGTGTTATCATTTACATCTTCACTCTTCTGTGACTTTAAAAGGGATGATAACACACCGCATGCAATTACGTTTTCGTTAGGATGAAAATGGCCTCTTTTCAACTTGTAGCGATATTCAGACTCAACGCGCATAAATCCATTCCGAACTGTACATGCAGGTAGGCTTAGGGGGTTAAAGATATTATCGATATAATAAACACTGTCTTTAGGCCAAAAAAAAAAGTTTCCGGTTTCTGGTATGGAGCTTGCCCAAAAAGTGGTGCGGCGACGCGGCTTTTTTTTTTTTTTTACCTGATTTTTTGCTTCAAATGTCGGCTGATGACTGCAAATGGTGCCCGACTAAACTTAGTGCAAATATCGTCACCGACACCACGAACTGACACCCGGTGGTCAGCGTTGCAGAAATACAAATCGGAGAAAAACGCTTTTAAAGGTTTGACACGAATTTTTTTGCTTCAAATGTCGGCTGAAGACTGCAAATGGTGCCCGACTAAACTTAGTGCAAATATATGGGAGTCCAGAGAGGCCACATAAAGCTTATTCTCGACCATAACCCAATCTAAAAACACGTTAAAATTGTGCAGCAGCATGATTTCAGTCAAACCAGTGAGTTTGGCGGTTTTGAGACATCATCTTTCATTGAAAAAATAACTTTTTCATTTTGCCGACGCGCATGGCAACGGCGACGCGCGCGCATACCAGAAACCGGAGACTTTTTGGGGGGGCCTTAGGATGCAGCCTCATACAAGCAACCTGTCGGCTGGCTCCTTAGGCCGAATAAAAAAAAACATGTTTCTCGTCCGGGTGTTTGAAAAAAAAGGAGGAAGCGGGGCTTTTTATTTTTTTGTCATGTTTTATTTTCTATGAAATAATTTTTAAAAAATGAATAACATAATATAATACATTTGCGGGGTGAATGTACAAGAGAGGTCACCCACTGAAAAAAAGGCGCTCTCTCTTTTGCCACAATAAAAAAAGGCGTATATGGACCTTATAGGTAGCAGTCATCAAGGCAGTACATTTGTCTTGCTGTGATATACCAGAAATAAACCTTTTAAGCACTCATTGTTACTGAATTAAAATAACGAAGGATGCCCTATAAGATGGCCGCTATACGCATAAAGTCTACCCATGAGGTCTAAGAAATACGAAGGCTGCTCAAGTTTAAGGAATAAGTCAATCTGGCACGAGAGTTCATCATGGCCTACGTCAAAGTGAAAATGCACAAAACGCTGATCCGTCCCATAAATTCAAAACTTTTATTTTTTGATTCATTGACATTCAACGGTTGTATTCAAAAATGCTATCAAAAGCTTGGAAAACACAACGACTATCCTCTATCAATAGAATTTCTGTAGAAATAAAACTATGCAGTTTTTCTAGTATATATTTTCCTGCTCAGTCTTGCAATTGACTTTGTATTTCGTTAATTTTCAGAAATTTGAGATAATTAACACACTGTTATAATGCAACTCAAAATAATTATAATTTACACGACTACATGTAATTGTCGCACAGATTTTTCATATTATTCAGGGAATTATTGTAATTAAGGGAATTATTGTTGTTAATGTATATTTACTCTGTTGGACGGTTTTCAATCAAATTTGGTATACTACTTTTAATTGGATAGTTGTATTTTTGGAAGACAGGTGTTTTTACCAATTAATCTGAATAAATAAAGTATTATTCCATCCTGTATGCTCATTGTCTCTGTCCCTTTGCCAGATTCATGCGATTGTGTCTCATTCAGTGCACACAAGTCACTGGAGTTCGTTTCATTTCCTTTAACGCGTTTCTATCATTCCGTTCCCCCTGTGAGTGCCTTCGTTTGTCTTCTAAGGCCAACAAAAAAAAGTCTCCGGTTTCTGGTATGGAGCTTGCCCAAAAAGTGGTGTGGCGACGCGGCTTTTTTTCTTTCTTTTTTTACCTGATTTTTTTGCTTCAAATGTCGGCTGATGACTGCAAATGGTGCCCGACTAAACTTAGTGCAAATATCGTCACCGACACCACGAACTGACACCCGGTGGTCAGCGTTGCAGAAATACAAATCGGAGAAAAACGCTTTTAAAGGTTTGACACGAATTTACTCAGTAAAATATTCCATCTATCTTAGAGGTTTTAGTATCACTTAACGTGAAAATGCTTACACTACTCAATTATAAACTTTATATTGTAAAAATCTGCTTAGTTAATTAGCAATTAAATGATTAAGATGGGTGTCAGTTCGTGAAAACCAAAATTTACGTGTTTTCGGAGAGTGCGCGCATGCAATAGCGTAAGTGAGTGTCAGTTCGTGAAAACCAAAATTGACGCGTTTTGGGAGAGTGCGCGCACACACTGCGCATGCGTGCGCGCACTCTCCCAAAACGCGTCAATTTTGGTTTTCACGAACTGACACTCACTAACGCTATTGCATGCGCGCACTCTCCGAAAACACGTAAATTTTGGTTTTCACGAACTGATACCCTGTGCAGGGTCACTTCGTGGTAACCAAAAATACCAGAATTGACCAATTTCTTGAAAATTCATTAGTAAAATTTGCTTATTTTAGATGATTTCAGCAATTTTAACCTCGTCATGTTAAACTTCATGATACAAACTGCTAATATGTGCAAAAAAAAAAAAATTAATTTTAAATTTTTTTTGTACACATGTGATGCAGAGGGGGTCAGTTCGTGGTGTCGGTGACGATATATGGCAGTCCAGAGAGGCCACATAAAGCTCATTCTCGACCATAAACCAATCTAAAAACACGTTAAAATTGTGCAGCAGCATGATTCCAGTCAAACCAGTGAGTTTGGCGGTTTTGAGACATCATCTTTCATTGAAAAAATAACTTTTTCATTTTGCCGACGCGCATGGCAACGGCGACGCGCGCGCATACCAGAAACCGGAGACTTTTTTGGGGGGCCTTAGGATGCAGCCTCATACAAGCAACCTGTCGGCTGGCTCCTTAGGCCGAATAAAAAAAAACATGTTTCTCGTCCGGGTGTTTGAAAAAAAAGGAGGAAGCGGGGCTTTTAATTTTTTGTCATGTTTTATTTTGAATGAAATAATAAAAAAAAAAAAGGAATAACATAATATAATACATTTGCGGGGTGAATATACAAGAGAGGTTACCCACTGAAAAAAAAGGCGCTCTCTCTTGCCCACAATATTTCAAAAAAGGCGTATATGGACCTTATAGGTAGCAGTCATCAAGGCAGTACATTTGTCTTGCTGTGACATACCAGAAATAAACCTTTTAAGCACTCATTGTTACTGAATTAAAATAACGAAGGATGCCCTATAAGATGGCCGCTATACGCATAAAGTCTACCCATGAGGTCTAAGAAATACGAAGGCTGCTCAAGTTTAAGGAATAAGTCAATCTGGCACGAGAGGTCATCATGGCCTACGTCAAAGTGAAAATGTACAAAACGCTGCTCCGTCCCATAAATTCAAAACTTTTATTTTTCGATTCATTGACATTCAACAGTTGTATTCAAAAATGCTATCAAAAGCTTGGAAAACACAACGACTATCCTCTATCAATAGAATTTCTGTAGAAATATAACTATGCAGTTTTTCTAGTATATATTTTCCTGCTCAGTCTTGCAATTGACTTTGTATTTCGTTAATCTTTCAGAAATTTGAGATAATTAACACACTATTATAATGCAACTCAAAATAATTATAATATTCACGACTACATGTAATTGTCGCACAGATTTTTCATATTATTCAGGGAATTATTGTAATTAAGGGAATTATTGTTGTTAATGTATTTTTACTCTGTTGGACGGTTTTTAATCAAATTTGGTATACTACTTTTAATTGGATATTTGTATTTTTGGGAGACAGGTGTTTTTACCAATTAATCTGAATAAATAAAGTATTATTCCAACCTGTATGCTCATTGTCTCTGTCTCTTTGCCAGATTCATGCGATTGTGTCTCATTCAGTGCACACAAGTCACTGGAGTTCGTTTCATTTCCTTTAACGCGTTTCTATCATTCCGTTCCCCCTGTGAGCGTCCTTCGTTTGTCTTCTAAGGCCAAAATAAAAAGTCTCCGGTTTCTGGTAGGGAGCTTGCCCAAAAAGTGGTGTGGCGACGCGGCTTTTTTTTCTTTTTTTTAACCTGATTTTTTTGCTTCAAATGTCGGCTGATGACTGCAAATGGTGCCCGACTAAACTTAGTGCAAATATATGGGAGTCCAGAGAGGCCACATAAAGCTTATTCTCGACCATAACCCAATCTAAAAACACGTTAAAATTGTGCAGCAGCATGATTCCAGTCAAACCAGTGAGTTTGGCGGTTTTGAGACATCATCTTTCATTGAAAATTTTTTTTTTCATTTTGCCGACGCGCATGGCTACGGTGACGCGCGCGCATAACAGAAACCGGAGACTTTTTGTTTTGGCCTTAATAACGTCTTTATGGATTAGGGAAACAGCGCTGTGTGATCGGACTATAAAATATACAATGCGTGGGATGCAGTCGGGTCCACAAACGTGTACATACTGTGCACACCGAGTGAGTCGACGCTGAAAGCTTGTATTTTCTACGACCACCTCACACATTAATATATTTTTAACTGGATAGTTCTGGCGGTAATGTGGAAGAATATTGGGCAATTGGGCTTCAGGACTACTTTGAGGAGTGATAATCTTTAGATGGAAGTTTTCTCAGTCATTGGTTTACCCCCCAAAACTTGAACGGACAATAAATGGTGATGAAATTAGTTTTAATTTGATGAGTGTCTCAAACACCTTGAAGAGTTGTATTGTTCATAATTTGTGGAAGTGTGCGTAATTATCACGGAGGTCTATTGCAGTTCATTTACTGGTCTGCAACCTTAAAGGTACAGTCCAATTGTAATGTGTGCATTTTGTTCTTTTGAAGCAATAAAAGTTCTCAAAATCAAAAGAAGGGTGCTGAACAACTAACCTGATGAAGTTTCAGCTCAGCTTCAGCTGTATATTTCGAGAAAAAAAGAACATTCTAGGATATCGATTTCAAATCAAAAGTTGCTGAATCATGTTTTGAATTGGGCCTGAATCCCGCGTCCGAGGCACGTTCTCACTGAGCCGATTGCAGCGACGCGATGTCGCGCACTGATCCGACGAATTATAGCAACCGCGCGCGTGTGCGTCGTGTCAACGCTTATGCGCGCTTCGCCGAATAAAAAAACGAACTGCTAAACGGACATTTTTAACGATGCGTCTTTAGATTGATTGGGTTATTCGTTCCAACGGTATCCATGATTAAGCTCTAATGTCGGGCCATACATTGAGGATTATCCTACATTTCACTGCGCTTGTTAGACTGAACTGAACACGTATACCGTACCGTGGATCAAAACACACAAATGAAATTGTAATACCGCCCAAAACTCCGCTACGCAGGGGGTGGGGGTGGGGGTGGGGGGGGACACAGCCGCCCCCCCCCCACACGCCCCCCCCCCCCCCCCACACACACACACACTGGACATTTGGCATCCGGAGAAAAGCACAGCCGTATGAGTTACCATGATTAGCTGGAAGAACATGAAGAGGCTTTGTTTGCTAGTGTTCAATCGGAAGATCGACCAAGGTAGGTAGATAGGTTACGCATCCACTTTTGTTAGGACAATAAGGTCATTACGTCTGGGTCACCACTCACCAATGGCATGACACAGTTTTAATGGAAGACTTTCGGAACAAACACCTGTCATTTTCAGTTGTTTACGGCATGTTTAAAGGGAATGTACATCATTGGCTTTTGCTGTAATTTTCAGAAATGAACTATTTGAGGGGTTAGTATAATAGATCAAATATTGTTACACTGACATTTTTAAAGTTTTGTGTTCGAAAAGGTTGGAAAAACCAAGAAAAACAAAAATGTTCAAGTAGTCTGGTTCCCTGACTCCACAAAAGATAAAATGGATCAATTTATAGATGATGGAAAATTGTAAGGCAAGGGAACCAGTCTAGCTGGCCTGCACCCGTTCATGAACATGTAACCAATAGCAAACAACATTTGGACTGAAAAAATGGTAAATTTGGAGCAGTAGTTGAAAAATAGTTAGGTTTTCCCAACGCTGGTCGGCCGACCACCGTTGGAAATGTATACAAAAATAGCATTTTCTTGAAAATGACTTCACACCAGGTGCCATAATTTTACAAGATGCTTGAGACTGTCAAATGGTAGTTTTATTTTTCGATGTTTGCAAATGTTGTATATTCCCTTTAAGCTAATGTGGGCATGTTCAAAATGACGCAAACAATATAAAAGGGCGGTGTGTTTACTGCCACCAAGCGTCTCAAAGTCTCCCAGTTATACATCACACGCCATTATGCCGTCTACCGCTTCAGTGTAGTTAATTGAGACTACATGTACTATCTGTGTTATCTATCAGTCTCCATCATTTTGAACACATAAAGTTACTCCGTGGCATCGCTCCCAGCGGAGCAAAACTAATTTGATTTCCCGTATTATCAAATACAAATAGACTATGACCTTTACTAGAACCATTTGTGCTCGAGCAGTACACAAAAATGGTCGCTCTTAAGGGCATATCATTTGGTTTTAAAAGCATTTTGCACAAGCATTTTGTTCTTTTCAATGGTAACATTACTCACAATCCAAAAAGAAGAATGTACAAAACTGACCTAACAAGTTGAAGTTTCAGCTCAGTGGATATTACATTACACAAAAAAACAATGCGGAACCAGCTCAGTGCGTATAACTCTATACGAGAAAACAATGCGGAACCAGCTCAGTGCATATAACTCTATACGAGAAAACAATGCGGAACCAGCTCAGTGCATATAACTATATACGAGAAAACAATGCGGAACCAGCTCAGTGCATATAACTCTATACGAGAAAACAATGCGGAACCAGCACAGTGCATATAACTCTATACGAGAAAACAATGCGGAACCAGCTCAGTGCATATAACTCTATACGAGAAAACAATGCGGAACCAGCTCAGTGCGTATAACTCTATACGAGAAAACAATGCAGAACAAGCTCAGTGCGTATAACTCTATACGAGAAAACAATGCGGAACCAGCTCAGTGCATATAACTCTATACGAGAAAACAATGCGGAACCAGCTCAGTGCATATAACTCTATACGAGAAAACAATGCGGAACCAGCTCAGTGCATATAACTCTATACGAGAAAACAATGCGGAACCAGCTCAGTGCATATAACTCTATACGAGAAAACAATGCGGAACCAGCTCAGTGCATATAACTCTATACGAGAAAACAATGCGGAACCAGCTCAGTGCATATAACTCTATACGAGAAAACAATGCGGAACCAGCTCAGTGCATATAACTCTATACGAGAAAACAATGCGGAACCAGCTCAGTGCGTATAACTCTATACGAGAAAACAATGCGGAACCAGCTCAGTGCGTATAACTCTATACGAGAAAACAATGCGGAACCAGCTCAGTGCATATAACTCTATACGAGAAAACAATGCGGAACCAGCTCAGTGCATATAACTCTATACGAGTTATATATTAAATGGTAATGAGAGGTGTGGAGCCTCCATTAGAGGGGCGTGTCCTCCTGCTTGGAGCCAGTGGGGTGGCAAATGCTACAAGCAACTCAGCGAGAATCTACCATGGGCTGAGGCAAAACAGGAGTGCATCAAGATGGGAAGTGTCTTGGTCATGCCACAGTCTCAGGAGGAAACTGACTTCCCTCTGAAGAACCTGATCCACCGGTTTTGGATCGACTGCAATGATCAGCAAGTTGAAGGTTTGTCAACTTATATCGCTTTAAGACTTTAGCAATGAATGAATTCTACTTTCAAAGAAATTCATACTGAACATTGTTTTCTCTTCTTTTGGTGACGAAAGAAATGACAATATAAACATTCAAACTTCAAACAAACATGGTTCTCATATCTTAAAAGCTTCACAGTAAAATCGAACCAAATAAAACCTGACATATGTATTCTGTGTGTGTCAGGTACATGGGTGTGTCAGGATGGCACTACTGATGTGGAGTACAGAAACTGGAGGGATGGTGAACCTAATGATCGCAGGGAAGGTGAAGATTGTGCAGCAACGAGACAATCTGGTTGGAATGATGTATTTTGCGAGAAACACGTTGCCACTATCTGCAAACGATCTGCACCACAGCTACATTTTTAAATGGCAACACAAAGGCTGACTTCTTAAAAAAGAGTAAAGCTTACAAACTTATTTAATTAAGGGAATAAATGTGTGCTCCGGAAGTTTTTATCACTCTGTTTAAGACCACTTAGAGTCTGGGTGCTGATACTTACCCGAGCCGGAGGCGAGGGTAATTATCAGCACCCAGACTCTTAAACACAGTGATAAATACCGACCGAGCACATATTTATTCCCATTCATAAATAACTTTCGGTAAAAGAAAATCAAATAATTTGTTAAAATTTCTTAACAAAATCCCAATTTTGTTCAACAAGTTCACTTCATGCTTTTGAAACATCCCTTTAGCAAAATAATGGAGTGTTCAGCTGGCGAGTAAGATGTAAACAACCCTTTTAAGGAGATTGACGCGCGCGTAGCATGTTCTGTGCGATGTCGCGCAGAACGCACCTGGGGCGTTGCGTTTTGAATTTTGAACTATCTAAACTGTCTGAGGTATTTATGAATACTTAATTAATTAGAAATGAAGGGTATCATGTAGAGAGTATCTTTTATAGTTTGTTGTTTGAACCATCGTTAATGTTGAAAAAGTATTTGCATTGATGGTAGTCGATCCAAAACCGGTGGTTTTACTTATTTACATAGCTTTCTTTCACTTCACAGATTTTAATTTTAATTCCTCATTTTCAATTTCCAGTGTTGCCTGGGCAGTGAGAACCATTGCATCTATTGGCCACACAGATTTTTGTTAAATTAGAATTTCATTTTGAATTCACGTATTTTCTTTCTAAGCTTTTAGAAATCACACTGCTAACGTAGTATTTATTTTAAAAAAAATCAAACGTAAAATGGATTATGTGTTGCGAATATCAATGAAATCAAATTATTTTGAAAATGAGATGTTTTGTAGCACTGTAAGAATTCACTAACATGACGAAATGGACAATCTGATGCTTCTTGACAATCTTCAATTTCGGAGATTTTCAATTTTCATTTTAGTTTCTCATTCTTAATTTCCAGTGTTGCCTGGGTAATATGAACCAAGGTATCAATTTTCCACACTGACGCGTTTGTTTCGAAATGCAAATTCAATTTTGAATTCACGTTTTTCCTTTCCAGGCTTGAAAAATCACACTGGTGATTTATCAACAAATCAAACATCAAATGGATTATAAACAATGTCGTCGTCAAAGAATTGTAAATGATAAATTAGTTAAATTAATGAGGCCATTGAAAATTTGGAAGCACTGTAACAATTCAATAACATAACAAAACGGAAAATCTGATGTTGCAGCACTTAGTCCAACGATACAAAATACTTCAAGTCGAATGTCGTTGTTGCTTGTGGAGCCCAGTTTATCTGAGCTATTAGTATAAATCGTTCAACTCTTTGTTTCAATTTCTATTTCAGCCAAATCAGCACTGTAAGTGTTACACGCTGTAAGTGTTACTCTTGTTAATAACGCAGTTTACTTTTATTACATTTTTGGTGACATATTTATCGAATTCGCCATTTTGCTATATACCAGACATCTTTTATTTATTGATGTATTTCTCTAAAGGAGTATGAAATAAATGCTTCTTGAATTGAATTGAATTGAATTGAAATTGAATAATATGAGACAGTGTTTTTTTTTTTACAGTGACCTTCGTTTAGCATAAAGATCTTGGAAGAGCACCAGTGGAATGGATAGCAACGTCACTCCACCATACAAGTAGAAAGCTATGTTGAAACTCCCGGTCCACTCGTTAATCCAACCTGTTAAAAAAAACAATGGAACAATTTCAGTGTCAATGTCTAACCTGCTTAGTTGGGTGCACTATTCATGGGACTGAATTCTGGGATGGTCCCAGAGGGACAGCCTGCAGTCCTGTTTCTGACTGACCTGATTTTCCTGATCAGACTGACCGACCTGACTGCCTGGATTGACCTCATTGACCTGATTGACTGACTTACTGACCTGGCTGACCCGACTGACCCACCTACCTGACCTGACTGACCTAACTGACCGGACTGACCGATCTAACTTGACTGACCCGACAGACCAGATTGACCTGACTGGCCTGACTGGCCTGACTGGCCTGACTGACCTGACTGACTGGCCTGACTGACCTGACTGACCCACCTAACTAACCTGAATGTCCCGACTGACCTGACTGACCAGACTGACCGACCTGACTCACTGGATTGACCTGACTGACCTGATTGACCTGATTGACTGACTGACCTTCTTGACCTGACTGACCTGACAGACCTGACTGACCTGACTGACCTGACTGACTGACAGACCTGATCTTTGACCCACCTAGGAACAGTTTGATAGGAGCAAAAAGTCAACAAGTAGGCCTACTGTATAAAGTCAAGGGATAGAGCACATTGTGCTTACCCGCGACCAGTCCTCCAAGACCCGCAGCTATTCCAGTACACAAGCCCTGCCAGCCCAGTACATTAACCAATCGGTCATCCGTGAAGATGAACCGAACGATGACGTCCATTGCTTGAATTGATATACCGTAACCTACACCGAGCAAGCCCGTAACCACCATCTGGCCCATGAACGGTGTGACGAAGGCGTCCAGGAGCAACGATACACACACGACACACGACGCGAAACACGCCCAGAATGTCATGGATACCTTGATGCCCATCTGCTGCAGAAGGGGCATAACCAACTTGCCGATGATGTTTCCTGAGCCGAAGGAAGTAGGCAGAAACGACGCCTGCATTTCGCTCAGCCCTTGAAGCTGACCGTGCGAGACCATGTACACCACGACACCGCTGTAGGCAAAGGCAGGTGCACATCTCGACGACACTACCAAAATGAACTGCATATCTGTCAGAACGGCGAAATCGAAAGCTTTGTGGATGCTCTGGCAACAAACCCTCGCCCATCCTCCTGAGACAGTCTGACGAGTTTCACTTGAGATGTTTGTTCGGTTAGTACCACGAACTCTCCCATCTTCGCTCGGGCTATTTTCTTCTTCATCGCTTTGCGTAACTTCTTGGTACTGTTCAGTAGCTGCTGAAGAGGAAGCATTCCGTCGCACCAACATACTACACGCAACTAGATGGAACGAGAAACCTCCCAGCAAAAGCATGGTTCCTCTCCAGCCATAGGTATCCAAAAGCATCTGGGTTACAGGCCCATAGGCCATCACACCAACAGGAATCCCCATTGTTGAGAGTCCCACAGCTAATGCGTATTTCTTCTTGAAATATGACGCCATCACGGCGAAACTAACGAACAAAATCAGGGCTGACCCAACCCCTGCAAAGAAAGAAGAAAGTAACATAAATATAAAATAAAAATGTTATAATCTTTGTTCAGTTTAACGTAAAGTTTCGTTTTTCAGGAAGGCGAAATCCCTGTTTCCAGTCCCTGTTTCAAAGCTATGGCAGGAGCTTCTGCATGTCATTCGGTGGTCGGTCGGTTTGTCTGTCTATGTGTCTTTCCCGAAAAATGACGAAAAAGATTTGACCAAAAATTATTGACAAATTGACCAAATGCCATGCCGTGGTCATAAAATGCACTCTTGACGAAAGACTTCGGAACTCGAGTTTTGTTTCAATTGATGCACGTGCGCGTTTATTTAGCAAAGGCCTATGTCTGTCCCGGAAAACTGACCAAAATAAGTCCCAAAAGTTTCCCACAAAATGTAACTGCCAAATCGAAATGTTCAATCAATGTAATACTTAACGAAAATGTTTGTTCCAATTCGGAAAGATTATGAAAGTTTGTGAATGGAGGCAAAATATGTGCAGTAATGTAATAGTCACGTGGTATTTTGTGTAGTGGTTGGACGGTATCCAGAAGGAGGAAATGTCCCCACAATTTACCAAAAGTACAGTGTTCTATAATATGCCATCGGCGTTGCCCTTTTCTCAAGAGCTAATTGTGCCACACTTGTTAGATGAAAAGTGTGTTTGGACGTCTGTGAAGTGTTAGTAGCTGTGCATGCCTGTGCGTTAACTAAGAGACAATTTAATTTTTTGTGGTTACAATTTTGGTAAAGTGCACTTTCTGAATCATTTCTGTTCCAAGATTTTCATGACATCTGAGGGCGCCGTTGCTGTGATGTCATTATAAGGCACGTTCTCTTCTGTTCAGAGTATGAACCCAAACATTTGCTCACTTCTGCATTAAGTTTGTCATTGACTCACTTTCATGTTCTGCAACAACAATGAATCACCAAAAACAAACAAAAATTTCCAAAGTAAAAATCAAACATTCTGGCACATTTGGTGCCGAAGCAGCTGCAGTGCAACACTAGTCTGGTTCCCTGACCTTGTCAGAAAAAAAACAGAGTCTGGGAACCAGACTGCTGCAACACTAAATATTCTGCCTTAAGCCTACATAACATTGCACCTTTGCCCTTAATACCAAAATGTGGCAGGAATAAAACGCCCTTAAAAATGGCAATTGATCTTGTAAAATAAGCCATTTCAGTATTTCAACATTCGCATGCGCACAATGATATAGGTCGCGGGTCATTTGGGATAATCGAACGACGCTCAACACTGCAAAAATGAAGAAGAGTTATTACAGATCACCAAAATATTATTTGATACTTGAAAATACATCATTTTCAACAAAGCTACAAAATGATTCCTACATATGCCTTTTTATTATGTGTTGATGGCGTTATGAGGATTTTTTTGAATAAAATATTTTGCTAACCATGGCTTCAATTTATGCGCTTACGGCAGCCCATACAAAATGGCGCAAATGTTTACAAACAAAAGAAAGGCCTATACACATGTGTACATATATGGAGAGCAATGGGTAGACATTACAAGATGGAATAGATGGCGCAGCAAGATCGTACCCATGGAAACGATGTTGGACCCTCGCAACCAGCGGAATGGGCGTTCGCGTATATAACATCGCGTATTCGTATTATCGCGTCAGCGATTTTATCCCGATTGACCTTTGACCTGGACTTCTTCATCGAGAAACCGAACTGGCATATTCTCAACGGGATACAACACAATAATATCCGAGGTAAACTAGAAATTCAACACCAAACATATTATTATATTCGACATATGCTAGCCAGCATTTTGTCCATTAACCTCGTTGCAATTTCCCCTCATTTTTTTTCAGGTTCAGAAACAGAGAATGGTTTGACCCACACCTCACAGCACTGGGCAATAAGTTAGCACGTCAGCCTAAATAAGGCACGATGCTGAAGTACATGTATCACATTACAAATAGTTTTAAAGAAAGCTGAACCAAACTATCCGCAATACAAAAACATCATCAGTATGGTGAATGCATTATTAGTCCGTGCATTTATAATGAGTGCATTCTGAATCCCAAAACTGAATGGCGGATAAAAGTGAAGTATGTAAACAAAAGAACCAGAGCGTCACCAAATAATTTGTTATTACTCTTTCTCTTGTGAACAAACGCTGCAGTGTATTGTAAAACAAATAACAAAATGTGGGCACGCGTTCAAATTTCACTTGTCTATACATATATCATTTGTGTTTACAACATGCAAAAAAGGGAGCAAAGAATAATAATCAAACCAACGAGATGTATGCAGTGTATAAAATATATTGTATTTTGAAATGGCAATTGTACAATGCAATGCCGTGTTCGGTGTCAATGGTTCTCTTAACATTGATGTCACAAAGGAACTAAAATTGACGTCACAGGTCAGTCGGGTCACCCACACATTGGACTCCTACGGTTGCAGACTAGCAAATAAACTGCCATAGCTAGTGGGTTTATGTTTTATGGCCTGAGAACATAAACCCACTCTCGAAATTCAGGGAAAATATGCTCCCAACTCTCCAAGGTGTTTGAGACACACAAATCAATGACGGATCACCTGTCATTTTCTGTTCATCTTGGCGGTTAATGTACATGTACTGAACGATCGATCGAGCGCCGCGCTGGACGTAAAATGGCGGATATTTTACCGTTCACGTGATAAGGTCACGTGGATGCAAAACCTCAATAAGACTGACTACCTGCTAGCCCAACAATGAAAATGGCCATTGCAAAAACGTTGGGTGATATCGCCGTCAAGATGATGCCCAACGTAAGAAGCACTGCACCAAACACCATCATCGGACGGACGCCCAGCAGACGGCACAGAGCTCCGACAATAGGCCCTGGGATGGAGAAAGTCAAATCCAAATGTTGAAAATCGATAAACTGTTGGCTATAATCAGCTGAATCAACAAGACTCACTTTTTAATTTTATAATGCTGCAATGAAAATGCTTCCATGACAGCACCTTGACCACAATGTTTAGTGTTTTATATTTATTTATAAAATCTTGCGCTTCTATACAACGCCTGGAAAAAAAATCCCGTCATCTGATTGGTGAGTTGTTGATCACGTGTCATTGAAATATTCGCCCCAACCCAGCACTTCAGGATTTGAAGTTCCATTGCACGGTCACACTATTGGCGGCTCTGACCAATCAGATGACGAGGATTTATTCAGGCGTTGTATAAAACAAATAATGAATGTTTCACATTCGGCTTCGCCTCTATGAACGGAACATTCCATCTGTCACCTCATGAAATATCAGCCATCAGAAAGCGATTACATGTCCTAAACAGTCAAATTTTGTAGGTAAAATATTGAAACATTTACTGAGAAAACACATTTCAGATCAGTCTTATGGGGTTTGTGTACAGGGTGTCAAGTGCTTGTCCAGATATGGAATTCTTTCCAATACCATTGCACTCACAAACATTCATTATTGTACAGCAAGTCGTTTGAATTTTTGGATGAGACCCCGTACCGAAAAACGCAAATTAATGAGGATTTAGCATGAGTGTTTAGACCAGCCGAAGTGTGATGCTAGCTCTGCCGAACAAACAAAAGGGACGACACAAGTTTCGAATACATAGACATAGCATGGACAGTAACCCGGTTTAAAAAAGTCTTAGTTTCAAATTCAGGAAAAAGAACTTCCCATATCTCATTTTTCCCGTAAATGACCTATCAGCCATCAGAAAGTGATAATATGTCATAAAAAGTCAAATTTAGCAGGGAAAATATTGTTTTGTTTTTACTGAGAAAACACAGATATGGGAATAATTCCAAAAACAACTTACCGAGACAATTCAGCATTAGGCCGTACAAGACTACCAACCAACCGATAAGCCAGAGCTCGCTGTCTAAGTCGTGGGTGATTGGAATGAGGAGAACGCCCAACGCCTTGGTGTTACCCATGATCACGGCCCAATTGAGAAACGTTACCGCCACCATGACCCAGCCATACTTGTCGTGGTCGTAATTATTAACAGGTCCGTTTTCTGGTGACGACATTCTGGAAACTGACCAAATAAATCGATGAAAGACAAAAAAGATACCCAACAGGTAATACCATGCAACAGCGTGTAATTACCTGGTCACTTTTTGAGTAGATGTTGAAATCAACTAAACTATTTGGGTCTAATGCTGTTTGGCATTCAGCCACGATTAAACTAACCACAACTGCTCAGTGAACCGTGGTTTTGCTATGGCTATTGGAACTGTGTTATCATTTACATCTTCACTCTTCTGTGACTTTAAAAGGGATGATAACACACCGAATGCAATTACGTTTTCGTTGGTATGAAAATGGCCTCTTTTCAACTTGTAGCGATATTCAGACTCAACGCGCATAAATCCCTTCCGAACTGTACATGCAGGTAGGCTTAGGGGGTTAAAGATATTATCGATATAATGAACACTGTCTTTAATAACATCTTTATGGATTAGGGAAACAGCGCTATCTGATCGGACGGTGTAAAGATACAATGCATGTTATGCAGTCAGGACCATAACACAAATGTACGTGTACATACTGTGCACACCGCGCCGAGTGAGTCGACGCTGAAAGCTTGTATTTTTCTACGACCACCTCACACATTAATATATTTTTAACTGGATAGTTCTGGTGGTAATGTGGAAGAATATTGGGCAATTGGTATTGCATCTGAATAACAAACTATGACAAGGAAAATATCAATGCCTGGAAGCACTGAGTTATTAATTGTTATTACATCTCATAAATATTCATGATCAAATTGGAGCGCGTCATTGGTCGAATCCGCCGCGTCTCCGGGAAGTAAAAATGATACGCGCCCAGGTGACGTCATCCCGGTGAGTATCCAGCTCGCTGCCGTGCGGTAGTTTCTCTGGTAGCACCAAAAACTTGAGGGATTGCAAAACAAAAGGTTGGAAGCCGTGAACAGGACTGAGCTGGTGTTCCTGTAAAATTCGGATGAAATATGACCCTAAAATCGGTCTATTTTGCAATGGAGCGCGGGCATCATTTTTCAAAATGGCGATGGGCTTCAGGACTACTTTGAGGAGTGATAATCTTTAGATGGAATGTTTTCTCAGTCATTAGTTTACCCCCCAAAACTTGAACGGAAAATAAATGGTGATGAAATTAGTTTTAATTTGACGAGTGTCTTAAACACCTTGAAGAGTTGTATTGTTCATCATTTGTGGAAGTGTGCGTAATTATCACGGAGGTCTATTGCAGTTCATTTACTGGTCTGCAACCTTAAAGGTACAGTCCAATTGTAATTTGTGCATTTTGTTCTTTTGAAACAAACAAAAGTTCTCAAAATCAAAAGAAGGGTGCTGAACAACTAACCTGATGAAGTTTCAGCTCAGCTTCAGCTGTTTTTTTCGATAGAAAAAAAGGACATTCTAGGATATCGATTTCAAATCAAAAGTTGCTGAATCATGTTTTGAATTGGGCCTGAATCCCGCATCCGAGGCACGTTCTCACTGAGCCGATTGCAGCTACGCGATGTCGCGCACTGATCCAACTGGTTTAACTGGTTTCTAACTGGTTTCAAACTGGTATGAACTGGGAAACTGGTGTAACTGGTTTCTAACTGGGCCACTGGTTGAACTGGTTTCTAACTGGTTTCAACTGGTGCCAAATCAGTTTAACTGGTATGAACTGGGCAACTGTTCCTGGTTTTCAACTGGTTAACAGGTATGAACTGGTTTAATTGGTATGAAGTTTCCAACTGGTTCAACTGGTTTCCAACTGGTTTAACTGGTGAACATGGTTTCCAACTGGTTTCCAACTGGTTCACAAATGACATGACCTGTTGCCAACTGGTTTGGAACTGTGAAGTCGTTTTGAATTGGTCTGTAGTTGGCATCAAACTGTCGTTAGCGGGTTGAAATGGTCTTGAACAGGCGGGCTGAGATCCGTGGGTTGCTTCAAGGGCGAATACATGTAGTTTGTTGAATATATCCAGATACATATTTTGCAATTGATAATAAAGAGTGATTATCCGGAAACAAATATTACAAATGAGACAAAGGGGAGCAAAATGTTTTGGCAAATACTGTACGTTGTATATATTTGACACTATTTACAAAATGTGTATCATCTTAATCAATGAAATATTATAATTGGCTTTTCAAATAAATAGATGCAGAAGTCTTGAACCATGAAAAACTATCAAGATGGTGGGGGAAGTTATTTTACACTTGATTTTTACAAGATTTTTTTGATGGCTAGATGATTTTCCACAATCCAACTTACATGTAAATTTGAATGTTGAGGATAAAAGAGGGAAGGTTTTGGTTTGAGTTGAATGCCTCTCGTTTCATAATTAGGCCACAATCCACGCTAAAACAGTAAAGCTAGCCTATTCGTTGAAATTATGAAACTCGTCTCAATATCTCGGTGAGTAAATTTACAGGAAACTTCAATGGCTTGATAAATCCAGGGCAATTAACATTCAGTCTCAGATCATCATAATATTGACAAAAAATGGAGAAATGTACAGACCTGGGGAAACAGGTCCTGGGAAGCACAGAACTTTCATGTACTGGTCAAGTTTTATCGAATCAAAGATGAAAAACATCAAAGCTGTAACACTGAAGCCTTGCAGAAATAACGTCACTGTTTTGATATCCAGTTCGCGTGCTTCAAATGGTTATAACAATTACACTCCGAGTCACTTAATTTGCTGCAGATTGTTCCTATATATACGTGCTTCTCCAGTATCTCCTGAGCCTTTTCCCGTCACTGTCGCACCCGTCTCTGTTGCAAAACTCCTCTCCTCACGTATCGATTGACAAATTAAAAAGTAAGAAAAGCAAACCCTCCAAAAAACCCTCAAGAACAAAGATGGTCTGGGCTGAATAAGACAGCTCTAGTTGTTTTTTTTTCAGAAACCACCACTTTGCAGGATTTTGCTTTTAATATGTTCAGTCTTAACATTATTAAAAGTAACCTGATTAACTTCTGCAATGCCGAAAAAAATTGTGATCCGCATTAATTTGTATCCTAATACCACCAATATTTCATTTACCTTGCTTTATGCAATACTTTCCTGATCCCTGAAATTATTAAAGGTGTGCTGTTTCTTGCATTTTATGGGAATACGACAGAATTAACCAGGAGTCCAAACTCATATATTCCTCATTGTGATTGCTTTGAGTATTATGTAGGACTAGTCGTGCTAGTAACTGTACAAAATGTACGATACTTGGATTTTCTCACCAGCATGGCCAGCTGATCACAAACAAAGCTTAAGCATGTTAAGCAAATAATGATATCAAACATAAAATGTAGTACAAATGTGACAGAATCTATGCTGTACAACGGATACGAATTAAAAAAAGCTGGGTATTTGAAACATTCAGTACAAACTTACCAGTAAGGCCTACAACAAACTGTAGGTTTGAAAGAACAGGGCTCCAGAAACGAACAGACGAAAGGTTCTGTCCAAACTATCCCCCATTCCGCAAAGACCATGGTGCTGCAGGAATATTAACTCTGACTAATCTGTATGTTTACAGACATGTGTGATGCTTTTGGACGCGGATTTGGAACTGAATACAATACATCGTCATGTAATCAGTGTTTTTTCGAGAAGACGATGTACATTTGTGCCTGCTCCGTCTTTAACCATTTTGAATGAGTAGTAGAACTGAACTGCATGCAGACTAGCGCAATGTGGCCTAACGGTTTTTCTGGTTGAGGCAAGGTCATATTTACATGTACAGTATATGCTGTGTGCTGACCACTAGCTCAGTACGTGTGTCAAAGGGCATGAAGTGACCTTGCGCAAGACTGGACAGTGTAAGTCATATACATGTACAGTATATGTTGTGTGGAATGTACATGTACAATAGGGGGGGGGGGGGGGGGAAGAGTCCATCATATTATTGAACCGCAACCGCGACAAACATGATGTGCAGTCTTGAATCGTGTTGGCTGGTTTTCTACTGAAAATCTTAAGTCAATTTCCCATTGAAATTCTTCTCTTCAGTTTTCAATTATAAGCTCCATGCAAAACTGAAAAACAATTAATGATCGTCGACCATCTACCGCAAAGCAAAAAAATATATATAACATGAGCAAATGGCAAATAATTAACAGCTGGTAATAACTTTTTCCATTTATATGGTTCCATCAACTGGTTTCAATTGTTGATGGTCCGGGCCCTATAGCTGTTGGTTTTAAATTTCCTGTTGACACTGGTTTCTGCAACTGGTACGTTAACTGGTTTCAACTGGTCCAGAACATGTTGACACTTGGATACCACTACCGTGACCAGTTTGGTTGCTAATTCAACTGGTTTCAACTGGTTCCTATTAACACCACAAGAATTGCCAGTTGATAACTGGTACGTTTCTTAACACTGGTTTCAACTGGTTCCAGTTAATTGATATGGCACAACATTGCCATGGTTTCTTCAACAGGTTTCAACTGGCTGTTGACACAACAAGAATTGCCAGTTGATGAACTCTTTTTTCAACTGGTTTCAACTGGTTCCTGTTGGAACAACAAGAATTGCCAGTTGGTAACTGGTAAGTTCAACTGGTTTCAACTGGTTCTGCTGAATCCAGTTGAGCTAACAGTTGAAACCAGTTGAATCGAACAGGTACCAGTTGGACACCAGTTAATCCCAGTTAATCACAGTTAAAACCAGTTGAAATTGTAACTGGTTTCAACTGGAATTTTCACCTGGGACACTACACAAGAAAACAATGCGGAACCAGCTCAGTGCATACCTCTATACTACGAGAAAACAATGCGAAACCATGCATGAAGCACGATTTTGTCTATAGCACTTTTTTATTTCCAACGGCCAGGTGTAATTATAAACGAAATAATTTCACGGGGTGCTTAGTACCAGTACGCTCTTGAATCCATGTAAGCGTTTTGGGGATAAATGCAAAGGCTGTTATAAATGTGCCTTTAACTATAAGGACTCGGTTCAGAGGAAAGGCTGGTCTTTGTTAACAAAGAGAAATGATTGTCAAACTTATTCCCCAGAAACCAAACCAATAGGAGTTGAAATTGGCAGTTCGAATGTTCAATACCTTGTCTAGTATTCTCGATCGTCGGCCTCACTCAGCAGGGTTCACTACAACTAGACTCCGATTGTGTGCACTGTGCGCCGCCATCAGCAGTAAAAGGCCACCGTCGGTCAAAGTACGTGGTCAGTTTTCTGTCCAGCGTCGTCACACTAAGTCTTGTAGAGCCATTAGGCCTGTACACTGCAAATGAACGAGGCCATTATCGCTGGTCAAATTGCGGTTAATTTAATAGCACGGTCAGCTGGGCAACCTGTCGGCCTATTGAATGCCTTTATAGCCTTGAAAGATATTTCTATACAGTGTGTATCAAAAAAATGCAAACAAAACACAACGGAATGTCAGACGTCGAACGAGTAACCAACATAGATAATATAGGTATGGTTTTAAAGATACGCCTTTCCACTTGAAAATGAAACGTCCAAATCTGATATTTTTTGACAGAGTTATAAGTAATTTTCAAAGAGAGGTCAAATTGACCATGGGACCAAGTTTTCAATTTTAGGCATCGGGACAAAGGTAGACAAATAGCCTCCGTGTGAATATTTGCCTGGCCGACAAAATGTGTATAGCCAGTCAACACAATTCCAAACACTTTCTTGCTGTCACTGTCAGTTTGTAAACATGTTTTCGTGCTAAACATTTTGTGCATGAGGTAATAGCAAGAAAGTGTTTAGAATTGTGTTTACTCGCAAAACACATTTCTGTATAGGCAAGGCAAATATCCACACAGAGGCAACCTTTGTCCATATGCCTAAAATTGAAAACTTGGTCCCATGGTCAATTTGACCTCTCTTGGAAAATCCCTGTCAAAAATTATGTCAAAGATGACAATTTATGAAATCATTCTACGTGGATATCTTTAGGTGAAAACTGACACTTCAATACAGGAGACAATAAAAATGTCTTTTAGGATGAAACCATCGACTGTAAGAAGGTAAATCCTCGCGACGTCGTTATACATTTTCGTTTTCACGCAAGTACGCGATGTGAAAACAAACGTAAACGAACAATTTGGAGACTTGGGTATACGAAATCCGAATGTAAAAGGTCGTAAGTACAATTCGTTTTCGTCCATCTCCAAGTGATTTCTCATTTTTATTTCTTGATGAATACCAAGATAAATTCCAACATGAATGCTTCTTGGGGTGGTTATAGGCCTATACGGTTAGAAAGCATTCTGTCAAAAATTATAGCAAGAGAAAGGGCAGCCCCTTGTAAAATGCCCATTGGCGGGCGCGAGGGCTCACCGCATACACCTGTTGATTGCACTTTGCAGACTCTATTACGACAGTGTTTAGACTCATGCTCATCAGCTGTCAGTGCAACGTGAGAATTACTTCTAACGAGTATGAATATAATACGATGGCTCATGTTTCTTAGTAATTATTTCTGCATATGGTTGTGTGGAGTCCTCAACCGTGGCACCGACAGCGACTCTGCCTGGTGAGTTAACTTTGTACAAGAGAAAGTACGTACAGTACTGACAATAGCGAAATTAAATACAGTCGTTTCACGGTTCAGCAGCTAAATTCCATAAATAATATTTGATCTTAAAAATTACCTAAAGAGAGATGCCAAATAGTTTTCATACATTTACGAGGAGTAGAAAGTTGCAATTACCTCAAGTAAAATCCATGTCAAGGGACAGTTTATAATTTTGCAATACTGGCTTCGAGACATAGTGTATGTTCCCAATTGTTTGCATTACGGCCATCTTTACATTGTGTGTTTTTTTTCAACGGGGATACACAATGAGTAGACTTCTTGTGCATTCATTGTCAATGTATTAAGAAAAAGCTGACCTCCAAGATGTCTGCTAACTGCAATCAATCTTTACATGCAATTAGAAGGGGGATTGACGCCATGACCACTAAGCCTCACTCCCCACAATATCATCATCAGATCAGCTGGTAGATCCATTTTGTGCCGCGGGACTAGCTCCTACATCTTAGAAATCATTTAAGTTACTAAACTGCTTCAATAAACGTAATGAGCCCGTTATAACGCCCTCATTCATCCCCCCAAGAATGGGCCTAAATGGCCTATTGGTGCAGGCCAGTAAATTGCCCCACATTGCCAAATTTTCTTCTACATGTATTTGAGCATTTTGTGGGCCATGAACTTGAGGGATTGTAAAGCAAAAGGTTGGAAGCCGTGAACAGGACTGAGCTGGTGTTCCTGTGAAATTCGGATGAAATTTTGGCCGATATCGATTTCAAATCAAAAGTTCCCTTACTATCTTTCAACCAACTATGTTTTTCGACAGTAATTACGTCAGTTACGTTTTGGATAGCTGCAAATGATGGACTTAGCTTTAAGCATTGTTGTGGACGTTGACTGTGATGGTCAAAGTTGACAGTGTACAACACATTATCCCGCGAAAAAAAATCATTCTGAAAAATACTTCCGGTTGGTATTTGTCCAAACGTCAGTTACGTTGCTCACGATGAAGGTTTTTGACAAGGCGAATCATGACCTCATTTATTTTGGGCTTTAATTCAATTGACTAAAAAGGACCCCGTGTCTGGGTTCCAGACTTGAAATTTAACGTTTCGTGCATGTGGACACAACTCCAGGAGACAAATTCTCTGTTGAAGTAGGGACATATTATCCTGGAGGGCGACACTATTTTCTAGGAGAAACTGTCAGGGGGAGACACTGATCCTGGCAAAACCAGGGAAATCTGCGGGACTATATCCTGGGGGACAGAATTTACTTCCACACCGGCCAATCGAGTACTAGAAGTCCACGTAAAATAAAGGAGTTGCCTTCTATCGTGACTTTTATGGTTCATAAATCAACAACAATAAACAGTAAGAAAAGAGACACATGAACAAGAGCTGTGCTCGACTTGGTTTTCGTTTTGATGTTATTTTCTGGAATACAAGTTGATTTGATAGTGAGAATAAAGTTTTAGTGCGCCCTCATCCGTTTGGCGTACACAGCTTCGCAGAGGAACAACGGAATGGACAGTAACGTCACTCCACCATACACGCAGAATGCTATGCTGAAACTCCCAGTCCACTCATAAATCCAACCTGTAAAAAGAGATATTAATTTCAACTTAACTTCAATATTTAAAGGGTTCACGAAGTGATTTTTTGGGAACATATTTTAGGCAACTTTCTACTCCTCTTCAGTGTGAGGACAATATTTCCACATCTATTTTTGGTTAATTTTATGGAAAAATGCACTTCTTTAAACCTTTCGAATTGTCCATGCTTTTCTAGACACCCGAGGGCGCTGTTTCTGTGATGTCATTTCAGGAAGACACTTTACTGTTTAGGGGGTTTCTGTTCAAATTGTGAACTCGAAAATTTGCTCATTAAAAAGGTTTGTGAGAAAATGCGGCTTGTTGGCTTACTGTCGTTTACTGACACAACAATGAATCACCAAAGAAAAGAAAATTTGCAACTAGAAAAATATCTAAAATTCTGGCAACTTTTGGTACTGATATAGCTGTGACATTAAGGTTTCTGCCTGAAATGACATCACCATTTTGCTCATGAATATGGAAATTCGCATTAGCATTAAACCAAAATTGCACCCAAAAATTGACAATAGGTTTAAATGGGACACAAAGGTGCATTTTCAATGATTGTATTAAAAACAAATTAATTGCATAAGCCCTATAACAATATTTAAATTGCGTATAGTGACAACAAGAGCGGTTGTTTACAAGCACATCGGTATTTGGAAATTTTTAATAAACTCGGAACATATTATTTTCCCTTCAAAGAAATTCATATTCACAGCGTTCACTGATCTCATGTGACAGCAGGCAAGCAGCAAACAAAGACATGCTTGATTAATATCATGATGCCGTTATATTGAGCACAATTTTACTCAACTTGATTTTTGCAAGGAAAGTAGCTAACAAAGGGTTATTATATAAACAGTAGAACGCCACTATAACGAACAATATTTGATCCATAAAAACATTCATTATAGTGGTTGTTCGTTATAGTGATTGTGCAATATAGTACAATTTACTATTTTGGGAGCTAAAGGGGATGTTCGTAATAACCAAATGTTTGTTATAGCCAAATGTTCGTTATAGCCAATTATTCGTTATAGTGATGTTCGTTATAGCGGAATTGAATTTGAAAAGGCAAACCTGGCATCAGTCCGCCAATCGTTCCAGCAGCACCAGAGAACACTCCCTGCCAGCCCAGCACACTCACCAACCGGTCGTCATTGACCAGGAACCGCACCATGACGTCCACCGCCTGGTACTCCAAAGCGAAGCCCAGCCCCATCAGACCCGAAAAAATCATCTGGCCTGCAAAAGGTCTGACGAAGGCTTCCGCAGCAAACGACGCGCTCACGAGCACTGTCCCGAAACAAGCCCACGCAGTCATGGACGGCTTCACGCCGACTTGCTGCAAGAGTGGCGCCAGAGTCTTCCCGATGACGTTACCCACCCCGAACGAAGTGGGAAGAATTGACGCCTGGATTTTGCTCAGCCCTTGAAGTTGACCGTGGGACACCATGAACACAACGAAGCCGCTGAAGGCAAACGCGGCAGTGCACCTCCCAGATACAAGCAATATAAACCTCACATCCTTCAGCACGGCGAAATCCATAGCGGCCATGATGCTTTCATAACAAATCCTCGCCTTGCTCTTCCGAAGGTCAGGATTGGAGTGACTTCCCTGCTCCGCCGTATTAGTTGCATCAACAGCACAGCTCTCCGATTCATCTACTTGTGTTTCCTCGTCCTCGTCCTCATCTCTCACCGATACCTCTTGGTATTGATCATTATTAGCTGAAGAGGCGGACAGATCCCGCTGCACCAACATGCTACAGGCAACCAGATGAAACGAGATAGCTCCCAGTAAGAGCACGGTTCCCCTCCAGCCATAGGTGTCCAGAAGCACCTGTGTAAGTGGCCCGTACGCCATCATGCCAAGGGGAAGGCCCATCATTGATATACCGATAGCCAGTGCATATTTCTCCTTGAAGTATGTCGCCATTACTGCCATCCCGATGAACAAAAGTAGGGCAGACCCGAGACCTGCGAAAGCAACAGTCAATCAAATTAAGTTTTGCCCCTCACCGACGTTTAAACACTGTATACTCAATGTGTTACCACCCGAGTGAAAGTTGGAAAAACTCGACCTCCGAGCTAACGGGATCGATTGGCCGGTTCGGATCTGTGTACATAGCAGCGGGTACCGCATAAACTATTATAATATGGAATTGTGCGTCGGGGTGATATAAATCAAATTAAGTTTTGCCCCTCACCGACGTTTAAACACTGTATACTCAGTGTACTCAAAGCAACAGTCACATAATTATTACCGACATTATTCTGAATTAATTTACCAACAATTTACACAACTAGGGTGAAAGTATGGCCATCTTTCTACAAACCCATAGTGGCATTCTTATGAAATATGAGGAGTCCTCGGCCCACGCCAATTAAAGGCAAATAATTATAAGATGGAATTTTGCGTCGGGGTGATATAAATCAAATTAGGTTTTGCCCTTCACTGAGGTAACACACTGAGTGTACAGTGTTTAAAACGTCGGTGAAGGGCAAAACCTAATTTGATTTAAAGGCAAAGTGTTAAAGTGTTTTCTTGTTTATCTGTGATAGTATATTTGACAGTCTGTAGATGTTATACAGTATTCGTAACATATTTTTCTGAGTATACTGAGTATCTTGTCCTGAAATTATTAGCAATTTACCCGAGAGTCCAGCAATAAAAATGACGATTGGCAAAACGCTGGGCGAAAACGCCGTCAGTAATATGCCCAGCGTATTCAGAACTGCACCTAACACCATCATCCGCCGGCTGCCCAACAGACGACACAGTGCTCCAACGATAGGCCCTGCCAAGACGAAAAATAGCGATCAATTAATATCCAAATGGCTGCCAGTCAGTCAGTCAGTCAGTCAGTCAGAGACTAAGTCAGAATACAGTAGGCTCGCCTTTTCGGGTCTAATAAGCGTCTAGCAAACTGCCGGCAAGCTGTGACCAGAAGGCGAGGCAGTCAGCTTAAATGTGGTAGAAGAGATATCATAATTTGAAATGACTTGTGGACAACTTATAGTGAAGTTGATGGAAAGTCTCGACCGCAAAAACAAGCACCTCCGAGCAAAGTTTGAGTCTTGAATGCATCAGAGCATATTAGGAAAAATACTCCGTGATTTAGACTCACCCAAACAGTTTTGCATCAGGCCGTACATGACAGCTATCCAACCGACCAGCCAGAGATCAGCGTCCAGGTCGCTGGTGATTGGAATGAGGAGCACGCCCAATCCCTTGATGTTGCCCATGATCATGAAGGTGCTGAGAAAGGCCACCGCTACCATGACCCAGCCCCACCTGTCATGGTCGTAAACGACTGGTTTCAATGGGGGAGGGGCGGCCATTTCACCGGCTAAACTAGGGTAGTACACGGGATGTAACCTTGCACTCTTCACTAGCCGCGTTTCTCACGTGCAACTGAAAAAGAAAACCAGACAGCATGGATTTCAGTGCTAGGAACTCCAGCTAAATTGTTATTCACAATTGACTTCTATTATTGAAACGATTTCAGTTACGAGATGAATAACTATGGCATGGCCGCATGTTGATTGGATTATTCGTTCCAACGGTATCCAGGATTAGGCTGGGGGGGGGGGGGTAAAGTCGGGCCAGGTTGATTGTGTAGGCCTACAAACAAAAATATCTCTGAGGATTTTGGGAAGGGGAATGTCTTAAATTTTACTGCGCTTGTAAGACTGAAAACGATTGAGGGTTGCCACACAAATTAAATTATAATACCATCCAAAACTCCACTCCGCGAACACAGCGAGACTCATGTAAACATGTCATACGTAAGATTATAAGGATTTGCGTAGTAAAGTTGGGGTCCGCCCGATGGTCCAAATCTTTAGTCCGAAGGTTCTTTAGACTGAAGGTTCGATAGTCCGAATGCACACATTTCCCATGAGGGGGGGGGGGGGGTCGTTAGTCCGCAAATGAAATATGGTTTGTTAATCCGAACATTTGATGCAATAGTCCGAAGGTTCCATGATCCGAAACGAAAATAAGGTTCAATAGTCCGAAAGTTCATCATTCGGAATCGAAGGTTCGATAATCCGAAAAGACTATGAGGTCCGATAGTTCGAATCGACAATAAGGTTCGATAGTCCGAATCAACAGTAAAGTCCGAAGTGTCGGACTGACGAAGCATATTCGGATTATCGAACCTTATTGGTAATTCGGATTATCGAACTTTCTGTTCACTTGATATAATTCACTTTAGTGTATGTATACATATTAATTTACTAGCTTAAAGGGAAGACACATAATTTGCAAACATCAAAAACCGAAATGATCAAATTATCACGAAATACCTTACTGGATTGTTAGGGAATGACAGTCCAAAGCATGCTTTAAAATTGGGGCTCCTGGTGTGCTGATATTTTCAAGAAAAAAATTATTTTTCCAACGCTGGTCGGCCTACCAGCGTTGGAGAAAACTGGCTATTTTCAAAAACAGTTCCTAATTTTTCATATTTAGTTATTCTGACATTTCTTTGCAATTGATTACACACCTGTGAAGGGGCACAGGCCTGCTAGACGGATTCTCTGACCTTGCAAATCCCCAAAGTGTAATAATTGCTCCGTTTCATCTTAAGTGGGGTCAGGGAGCCAGACAACAAGAACATGATAGGTTTTCTTGGTTTTTCCAGCATGTACAAGCCCAAAACGTGAAACAAGTTAGTTTAACAATATTTTCTATAACATATACTAATCTTCCAAATCTATTTATTGCTTGAAATTGCAATAAAAGCAAATGTTGTACATTCCCTTTAATTTGTAATTATGGGTTCCAGGTCTTGCACAGGCATATGCTTTTTACCTGAATCCCTCGTGTCATTTCTGTTTTCTTTTATATAGATTTTTATTAATTATGTTTTTGTGAGATGATATACAAATAAACTAGAAACCATAATGTGCCCATTCTCAAAATGACGCAAACAATAGAAAAAAGAGTGCATGCGTCTGTTCCTTGCTATATGGTGTGAGTTTGCCGTCGTCAAGCGTTGATATCTCTCATTGACATATCACACGCATGAAGTCTCTCACTTCAGTGTATGTTATTGCGACTACCATATGCTTTATCAATCGGTTACCATCGCTTTGTTCACACACAACGCACGTAACTACTTCCTGTATTATCAAATACACAATGTACATGCATAATAGAGTCTGACCTTTAGAACCATTGTGTTCGAGCACTGGTTGAGAAATGGCCGTTCTTAAAGGGAACATGCAGTGGAAATTCAGCTCATCTTGTTTTCATGCACATAGGCCCCTACGTGTTGCAACAACATACAAGACCTTAATACTTGTTTTCAATGGAAGTGAAAAGAAAGTGGTTATTTTTCAATTATTAGCAAATCCTTTCAATACATGTAAGAGGGCGCTATTTTGCTTTTTGTCACACAAGGTACTCCTTGTCTATAGTGCATATTATGAACAGCACAACAATAAGTCCTTCAAAATTACTCACAAAAAAAAGTTTTGAAGAAATATTGGCCTCTACTATTGTCCAAACCAGATGATAAACAAGTAAAAAGTGGAACTTACTCCATATATTTGTACACAAAGCTATGGAGACACTATACTGTTCTGACTTGATTGACATGATCACGCTTTGGCTCATGAATATGGACATTTCATTAGCATAAAAACTAAAATATTGAAATTTCTCCCTTATACTGCTACAAAGGAGGTGGAAAGTCATAGTTACATGGCAAGAGAGCTGTTTTAAATGTATTTAATTGATAAAAATCCTATTGCATGTTTCCTTTTAAAGGCATATAGGACCGTTTGCTTCACATGCTTTGTGTTCATTGCAATAACACAATCCAAGAATGTTCAACATCTACCAAAATGAAGTTCAGCTCAGTACATTCACACTCATAGTTATTCGAAACATGGGGCACGATTTCGTCTATAGCATTTCTTATTTACAACGGTCAGTGAAATAGTAAACGGCATGATTTCACGGGGTGATTAGTACAAGTACGATATTTGGTATGTTACTTTGGGGATAAATGCAAAAGATGCTATCTATAATCTATGTGCCTTTAACTAGAATATTCAGTTCCGAGGAAAGGTACATACATAGGCCCTACTACGTACAGTAGTGATTGCATAATACTAGTCTTTTTCCTGAACAAAGTCCAGGCGAGACAAAAATGATAGTCAAACTTATTACACGTACAGAAACCCATGAGAGTTGAAATCGGACTTCTCGGCTGTCCGAAATACAAACAAGCATACAAGTCATATAAATAACGGATTCGGTATTATGCTCGAATGTTCAGTACCTTGTTTATCTTTCTCGTATTCTTCGGTCCTATTCACCAAGGTTTGCAACAACTCCGAATGTCATCAGCATTGTGCTCCGCCAGCACTCGTCGCTGCTACAAACAGAACCATTAATTTATGCACTGCGCAAAGGGCAACTGGGGCTGCCGTTCGGCCGGGCACGCCACGCTAAGCTGAGTCCTGTAGGCCTTTATGGCGTTGAACAAAACATATAAGGTCCGGGCGTCCTTGGATAGGATAATTGACCTGCAAACATTCTAAAATTTGCACTACACTGAATTTTTCTATAGATCCATATCCTGAAAAGTCACCCCTGGTCCGGGCGTCCTTAACCCTAAAGGGGCCGGGTTATTTTGACCATCTCTCAGCCGGGGGGGGGGGGAGATCTCGGCCATCGAGTGACGAAATATTTTGAAACTCAGCACATGTATAAAGCAACTCTTCCTAAACATACCCAAGAAATTTCATGACTATAGGTCAAAGGGTTTTGGAATTATGGCTAATTGATTATTCATATGTACGAATGGCAATTCTGCTCTGTGTACACGACGTATATGCGAACATTCAGTTTTCACGGCGCGTAGCGCCGGAAAATCTTTGGCTACGCGGCAACCCATGGTCTGATTTTTATTTTTTTGGTATCAAAAGATGCGCAAAGCTCGAGGCTAAAAAGTCATAACAGCTCAGGTCGCGAAATTTTTTTTAGAGGCTATCCCTTTAGGGTTAAATAGGAAAATTGACGTGTAAACATTGGCATTCTAAAATTTGCATTACATTGACCTCTTAAGAATCACCCTCGCTAAAGGCCTTGGGAAATTTCTAAAATCTCAATTTATCGCATGACGGGAAAGAGACAGGGTGACGGTAAGGTAATGGCAAAATTCTGCTAGATGCACTTAAACAAATTGCCAGATTTACCAAAAGTCTGCTAAATTCTATTATTACACGAAAAACAATATGAACACTTAAACTCACATGCAGATGTTATAAAATTTCCATAAACAAAACAAAAATCATAAAACTTTCTTTAAAAAATTACATTATTCTTTTTTTTTTATAATTTGCACACGGTGTCTAGCATGGCTTGCAATAGTCTTAAGTACTTTACTGTGTAATTCTACCTCCATGCTGACTAACACACGTCAGGGAACCTCAAATTGAAGCCTTTTCAAAACTAATCAGCTATATTTTTCAAATCTGACATATTTTTTTCTGTCAGATCACCCATTTACAGAATTCTGCTAGAAATCTGCTAAAAAAAATCATTCTGCTCAATTTTCTGTCGAACTCGTTTTTTTCCCCGAATAATCCTGTCAAATTTAGCTAAAATTCGGCTAAAACGGTCACCCTGGGAAAGAGAAATATAGTCGTTTTCCTAGTTCCGGTTTTTTTCTAGTTCCGGATTTTTCCAAGTTCCTGACTTTTTCCTACTATAGTTCCATATCGCTTGAAATTAAAACCTACCTATTTTTGATAAATCTCCAATAAATAACTCCATTACAATTTTTTTTTTCTGACGAAGTGCATTTTTAAATGGAAAATGTAAGCTTCTTGATGCACAAAGATCTTTTCGATAAAATCTCCAGAATAGGAATTTTGGTAGTGCTCGCTCTTTGACATGTTTGGACGGTTTGTACTGAGAAAATTGTGGGAGCTGCGAATCGTTGATAAATTTTCCTCGGTACATATCACTCGTACCGTGTGATTTTGAATTTTTTGTTCATACTCTACACATGAGTCGTATAAACTCTTGCATTGAATGTTTGTTGAATCGAAATAAGTTGTAGAGTCTCCAGAGGTGGCAGCAAGTCATTTTTTTTGCAAGTCCAAGTCAAGTCACAAGTCATTGTTTGCAAGTCCAAGTCAAGTCACAAGTCATTACGTCCAGTCACAAGTCATTAGGTTCGGTCACAAGTGTGTGTGTGGAAGGGGGGGGGGGTGGAGGGCGACCCCTCCCCGTCTCCCCCCCCCCCCCCCCCCCCCCCCCCCACTGAGAGTTTGAGTTTCTAAAAAAATTATCATTGATCTACATGACGTCCCCAATGAAATGTTCCAGCCCCCCATGAAATGTTCCAGGCCCCCCGGCGGTCCCCCCCCCCCCCCCCCACTGAAAAATTTCTGGCTACGCCACTGGGTCTAGGGCAGATTTTCAAGTACTAGAGGCTAGAAGTTATTTAGATTCAATAGCCATATGAAGCAAGAGTTTGTACGCAGCCCAGAATGACCGAAAATCTATTCGCGGCGCCCCCCCCCCCCGAAAAAAAGTCACAGCGCGACTACTCACCGCTCATCGTGGGTTTTAGTTGCCGCACGAAATTGCTCGTTGTGTTTGGGCCATCAGTGACAGTGGCAGTGGCGTAGCCAAGGGGGGGGGGGCGTGGGGGGCGACAGCCCCCCCCCCATGAAACCTTGTCGCCCCCCCCCCCCCCCCCAGTCGCCCCCTCCCTCCACTGAGATTTTGAGTTTCTAAAAAAATTATCATTGATCTACATGACGCCATGACGCCCCACATGAAATGTTCCAGCATGAAATGTTCCCCCCCCCCTCCCCCCACTGAAAAACTCCTGGCTACGCCACTGGACAGTGGATCCACAGATTTTACAAACAGCAGACCTTTTACTTGCTGCAGTTGAATTGTTATATCGGTATGCAAAACTCACACCCGTGGAACAACACCGCTTGCTTGTCAATTATGACATATTGAGGGCGCTATTTATTTCACTCACGCGTACGCAACGTAATTTAGCTCAGCTCACTGATATGATCTAAAGCTGCAGCTGGGCGAAGTAGAAACCGCGCAAGCCAAAGTCCGTTTTTTAATGCACGTAAGGCGTAAACCGAATAGCTAATTAAAAGTATAATAGCTTAATTAAAGTGTATAGGGTCGCTCGAGCAGCGTCTGACTTGGGCTGGTAACAAGTCATTTTTTTTGCAATCTCAAGTCAAGTCACAAGTCATTGTTTGCAAGTCCAAGTCAAGTCACAAATCAAAGCTGGTATTTACAAGTCAAGTCACAAGTCACAAAAATAGCGACTCGAGTCCGACTCGAGTCCAAGTCACATGACTCGAGTCAGCAACTCTGAGAGTCTCTAATATTTGAAAATTTGCCAACGTGTTTTTGCCTAGTTCCGGTGTCACATGAAAATCCGACTCCTATGAAAATCGGACCCCTTTTCCCTATTATTGGTTAATCCCTCTCACGTGACCGGTCACTTTCCTAATTACCATACTTACACATGCGCGTTATTACCAATGAGTCCGAATTTCATAGAAACGTAAATTCACGCTACACCTACACGCGCGTTAATCTATTTTATGTGACGTTTTCTGTGTGTGTCAAAGGTTTTCGGTCAGTGCGTGAGTATGTTCGTGCCGTTGCGCTGCAGACAAAAGTTTAACAATCATGTACGTTCATTCTCTTTTTAAGATTTGCTGGAATTCTCTTTAATAAACTGTTTTTGGAAAAATTAAATAATAATTCAAAAGAAAATATGCTTGATTCGTGGTGGTTCTGGCTGAAAAAAATTCTAGCGTGATTTTTTTTTTTCGCGCGAAGCAGTTTTTGATCGCATTCGGAACTGATTAAACCGATCCGGAACTAGGAAAAGTGGCATCGGTACTTTTGACATCGTAAAGTCCAAATAAAAAGACCTTAAATTTGGAAAATTATTGTGTAGTATCTCCATCACTCAAGGTGAACTACTGAACCAATGTCAGTTGAATTCGTGGAGTAGTTGAGCTGAAAGCAGCCTGAATATGTTTGCTATCCGGAACCAGGAAAACGACTGTGCCAAACATTGATATCTCACTTCCGAAAATCTAACAGGCCTGTGGACTACAATGAAAATTTCTGAAATCATTCTGTGGCCATCACTGGGAAAAACAATTACATGTACTGACACTAAAAAGGAGACTAAAACGTCTTTTAAGATATACATGTTTTTTTTTAAAACAATTCTGAAGGACTTATTAGCATTTGCAAAGAAAAACCTTCTAAAACGTGTGACCGCTGGGAAGAACTGCATTCAAGCCAGCCTGACTAAATCTAGAACCCATAGGTTGTAAGAAGGTAATCTCCGTGGCGTCGTTTGACATTTTCGTTCTCACGCAAGTAAGCGATGTGAAAACAAACGTGAACGAAACAAGGACACCGGTACGAAAATCCGGATGTGAAAGTTCGTAAAAAAGGAGTAAAATTCGTTTTACCCATTTCCAAGTGAGTTCTCATCAGTTTTGTTTCAACATTTCAACATTCCAACATGAATGCTTCTTGGGGTGATTACGATTATAAATCAATCCGTCAAAATTATAGCAAGAGACAAGGGCAACCAAAATGCCATGCACCTGTTACTTTTAGGCTCTATGTCTGTACCAACTGTCACTGCAACGTGAGAACTACTTCTAAGTTCTAACGATTATGGAAATAATATGATGGGTCATATGCGTCTTAGTCATTACTGCACTCCGTGTGGTTGTGTCCACGGTGACCGTAAGGTCAGAGCCAAATTCTGCTAAATGCCCATCAAAAATCTGTCAGATATATCAAAAATCTGCCAAATTCCCCAGAATCACTCGAAATACACTATAAACACTTAAAATCACATGCAGATTGGAAATATTGCCTTAATTAAGATTCAAATTACATAATAAACAATCAAGTCACGTAAAGATGTTGTGAAATTATTGGTAAATTTCGGATCCGGCCACGACGAAGTCCGTTTCCCGGTGAACCTCAGCACCTAGACCAGCCAACCTGTCCCATTATGCAAGGGTTTGTTTGAAAGGATTGATACTTTTTCAAACAAATGTACATTTTTTGGGTTCAAATTTGCTGTTTTTCTGTCAAATAACCATTTTCTGTCAAATAACCATGCAGAATTCTGCCGGAAATTTGCCAAAAAAATCCATTCTGTCAAATTTTCTGTCAAACTCATTTTTTAACAAAAACTCCGTCAAAGTTAGCCGAAAATCGGCTAAAACGGTCACCCTGGTTGTGTCCAATATCCTTATCGAAACCTTTGACACAGCTGGCAGAACAATAAAAGCTCATATTCAGTCGTTTCAAATTTCAGCAGCTAATTTCCACAAGTAATATTTAATAGCTTTGTGTATGTCACTTGCCATTAAAATCGCATAATTATTAATAATAATTTCTGGTAATGAAACCAAGGATTCCTCAAAAAGATTTTTCTTTACCAGCCCGGGGTAGACCCTTTGCCACGGGTTACGTAATTCAATAAAATTGTTTTCGTTTTTCTGAAAGATACCTTTTTAGTGATCCATGGACAAAACATCAAAACGGTGTTTGTGTTCAAAATCCCGTAACTTGAAAAGCACATGAGTGATTTGAATGATTCTTGTACTAAAAGAAAGCTTAATGACTAGGCTTTCATATTCTAGATTTTGAAAGAAAGTGCTACATGCAGAATTTACTTTAAAAATGGTCCCAACATTTGGGTTTCGTTTTTTTTTACTCACCCTGTATAATAGATGGACCATTAGTGTTTGCCTAACTTTTAACTTCAACGACATCTGGCTCCCACTACTCCGGACTGATGGGTCTCCTATACCCCGGGTCCTCAGCTATACCTTAGACTGATGGGTCTTTTATACTCTAGGTCCTCCCTCTACTGAGACTGCAACCCTACTATTCCACTTCATTGGGCACACCAAGCTTGATCTAGGATCCCAGCTACTTGGCATCCACACAGGATGCAACTTCACACTTCACCGATTTCGCTTTTGCAACTTAAGTGTTTACTTTCTTAGAGTTTACCACTCTCCTGAAGACAGTCAGAGCATACAGACCGGACCGTCGAGTTTATACCTCTGGTTCTTTTCAGAACCATTCTCTTAGTTGAGAAATTATTCGCACATGGTGTTTCCACAGACCTTTCATTAATTAGTAGCTCCACCATGCAAAGCCTCAAATCTAACTTAATTTCTAAAGAAAAATTAAACGATTCATACCTGATATTAATCCACCGAGCACATCTGCTGCACCAGTAAATACCATCTGCCGGCGAACCTGCAACACTATCACTGACCAGTCATCCGTCAAGAAGAACCGAATACAATATGTCACTCGCTTGATCACCACAGCGTATACACGAAACGTGAGTCACAACGACCAACTGTCCCTGAATGGCCTGAAGAAGTCATGCAGGGGCCAATTACTTGGAGCTGCTTAGCACAAAAATTTGCTCAGCACAAAAAAAGTCTGGCTTATAAAATCAGCTTACCAGCCAAAACTCCATGTGTTTTTCATGCTAAGCAAACAACAGCTGAATTCCAATCACAAGCACTGTGTATCACATGGACATTTGGTTGGTAATCCTGTTTTTGCCAAGGCAGACTTTGCATGCTAGGCAAATTTGTGTGCTTAGCAGCACCGTGAAATTGGCCCAGGAGCAACGTTGCACCCACGATGCTTGATCCGAAACACGCCCAGAATGTTTGTGGAGTATCCAGAAACCGGGGGGGGGGGGGGGGGGGGACTAGCCATTGCCATTTTTTAAAGGAAACGAAAGCGCCGGTGTGGCGTGAATATCCGACTCTACGAAATGTGGACTCATTGGTAGTATTGGGCACGCGTAAGTACCATAATATGCTATTTTTAGGATCATAATGGGAGAGTGACCTGTCACGTGCGAGGGATTAACCAATAATAGGCGAAAAGGGTCCGATTTTCATAGAAGTCGGATTTTCATGTAACACCGGCACCTCACATCCTCTCATAGTATTAATACCCTTCCCGTGGGCGTGGTTAGAGAGGGAGGTGGTGTTTCAACTCGCACTAACATTAAAGTTTAGCAAAGTCGTCGCCCCATCCGCAATATCGTGTGCCACGCCAAGACCGCACGTATATATACCATCACGAATACCTTCCTACTTTTCACGGAAAAAAAATACAAATTTTGGTTGTAAACATTCGCGCTATACGTGCGGTGAATGGGAATGCCGTTTTGTTCGAATTTATACAGACGGTCTTATTTGCATAAAATGGCCCCGCCCCCATTGCTACTAACTGACCAAGACGTTAGTGAGAGAACCCCACCCCTTGCCCCGCCCCTTGCTCCGCCCCATGGTGTTCTGATCACTGCCATGGTGATCTGATTTATGCCCGACATGCGCGCACTTAAAGCTATAGTCCATCATTTGCAGCCATCCGAAAAAGTAACTGGCGTATTATTGTTGAAAAACATACTTGGTTGAAAGATAGTAGGTGGATTAAACTCCCTGTGAACTTAATCTTTCTGGCAAGCTGTCATTTTGAAGTAATCAACGAAAGAAAGCCTTTCCAACGGTGCGTCTTAAGACGCACCGTAGGAAAATTTAAATTAGTAGTTCGTTTTGTTATTCGGTGCAGCGCGCGCAAGAATTGGCACGACGCACAGGCGCGCGCGGTTGCTATAATTTGTCGGATCAGTGCGCGACATCGCGTATAGCTGCAATTCAAAACATGATTCAGCAACTTTTGATTTGAAATTGAGATCCTAGAATGTTGTTTTTCTCGGAATATACATCTGAAGCTGAGCTGAAACTTCACCAGGTTAGTTTTTCAGTATCCTTCATTAGACTTTGAACACTATTGTTGCTTCAAACGAACAAAATGCACAAATTACAAATGATGGACTATATCTTTAAAGGGCAGAACGTGCAATGTGGCGTTACAGAGAAGCACGTGTTAACTGATCAGGTGTGCGGTGGGCGTGGCTTACCATATCGGACTATTACCGACTTGATTTTAAGTTCGATCAAAATACTATTTGTTGCCTTGTGTTTGAATCCTGATAAACGTTGCGCCTGCGCAGCGACTTTTGAAGTCGAACGTCTCAAGTGGAACGTTGGTCAGGCTTGACTGCCTGCGTTCGATCAGAATAATACTCATAGTATGGCCTTTATCAGGAAACAGAACGAATGCCTGCAGCAAAGAGCAAGTTCCATCAAGCAAAACGATTAATCAATCGTTTTGCTTGATGGAACTTGCTTTTTGCTGCAGGCATTCGTTCTGTTTCCTGATAAAGGCCATTAGGATAATGGCTGATCAGAGTTTCATGCTTTTGAGTTATATCCCCATGGACACTATAACAACGCTGTTTAAAAACCTGTTTATAGTTACAAAAGGCATCAATTATTTTACCACCCAAAAAAAACAACAAATTTCAAACAACTGATGGATTGCAATGCGAATGTATATATTGTGTGCCATAATCTCGAATACGTTAGAAATATGGTTGGTGAACAAAAGTATATTCAAATTTTGGGGAAAGGTGATACACAGAGAACACCCATTGTTGTGGAAAGTTTCAAAAGCTATTGAATAAAAAAAGTAGCACAAGACCTCCCACCAGGCCACCGTACCAAGCACAATCTAGCATTATACTTTGTAAAATCGGTTAGAAAATGGCAACTTTTTGGGTTGGTTTGGCCTGGGAGTGGGCATTCTGTTCCTGAGAACGAGAAGTGTTCGAGAAGAGACAATGCTTTACGAAACTGTTGAACAGTTTGATGCCGGTATTTGGTGTATTTACATGCGACAAACTTTCTGCGGCCGATATGGTATGATAGCTTGTAAGCTGCACACCTGAATAACGTCTGATGACTCAGGCAGGGAAGAGAAAGTCAAACCTTGAGAAACTAACTTTACATCTAAATGTTCTAAATTATAATCGCAGTAATTACACATCCTCAAGCGCTTACTAAGGCCAAAAAAAAAAGTCTCCGGTTTCTGGTATGGAGCTTGCCCAAAAAGTGGTGCGGCGACGTGGCTTTTTTTTTTTTTACCTGATTTTTTTGCTTCGAATGTCGGCTGATGACTGCAAATGGTGCCCGACTAAACTGAGTGCAAATATGAGAGTCCAGAGAGGCCATATAAAGCTTATTCTCGACCATAACTCAATCTAAAAACACGTTAAAATTGTGCAGCAGCAGGATTCCAGTCAAACCAGTGAGTTCGGCGGTTTTGAAACATCATCTTTCATTGAAAAAAAAACTTTTTCATTTTGCCGACGCGCATGGCTACGGCGACGCGGGCGCATACCAGAAACCGGAGACTTTTTTTTTGGCCTAAGGGTGACCACATTGTGAAAAGGAGGCCGATTAAATATCAATTACGAAACGTATATGTACTACGACTTTTAGTGAGTTTACCAGCGACAGTTACAGTTACCAACGACAGTTACCAACGATAGTTTGCACTCTTATGTACAGTACGTGTGAAACGATATGCGAATGCTGACAGTTCGCAAAGCCATTCTAGAACTCACTACCGTATACGCAAAGAATTGGTTTGGGATCGACAGGTTAAAAGAAATGATCTCCCACTCGACTCAGAAGTAGTAATACAGACACGACTTGTCAGTGTTCATTTCGGTAGCGGGGTCCAGCTGACATGACATGAATGCTCCCCGGCTTGCCTGGCGCAGAGAGAAGGAGCGGCATCGAGGCTCATCCCGGCACGTCAAAGCCCAGGCCACGCTGCTGGTTGCCTCCTTAGGGATGCGATCAGTCAGGCAGTGGGCTGTGAAGAAGCCACGGGCATCATACGTCAGCAGACAGGACATAGACGGGACAGCATGGCTCTCACACATCGCGTAATAGCTGGACGTGCATGGAAAGTCATTCCACGAGCCAGCATGTCCACCCCAGATTCCCGCGCAATCTTCCCAATCCTTGTAGGAGGGATGCGGCTCCCCCGATGCCCAGTTGAGGTAAGTACACTCCTGGTCTCCTCCACCAGCCTGAACCCACCTGCCTTCCTCCTCCCCATCACTACAGCCAATCCAGAGATTCTCTGAATCAGGGACCTTCCTTCTGAACATCTCCAAGATGAACTGATTCTCTTCGAGGGAGTCAGGAACCACCAGGTGACCACCCAGATTCGAGCAGGTTTGTTGTGCTTTTTCCCATACCAGTAGTCCAGGGGTCATCTGGTAGCAAGAACCGCCGAATCTTTCTTGGCCCGGTTGGCACGGTTCGGCCTGAACACCCGCCAACATGGCCACAATACTCAGCAGAGCAAGCTTCATCGTGCCTATTATATCAGCGTGTTGTCAGCAGGCTGATATCATCGGTTATGAAACCTTTCCAGCCAAACTTTATCGCGGATAGTTCTGTAATGAATCTTAGGGACAATTGCGACACTAGAAATTCGGCTGCAGTTGATGCTTGTCTTCGAACGACGAACCGTCAAGCACCGATCAAGTAAAGCTAGCTCCTCCCACAGTGCAAGTGCTCAGCAACAAGTGCGCCCCCATACCAATGCTGCATTGCATAATCCGGACGTGCGCGTCAGGTGCGCGCATGTCGGAAAGTAATCGCGCTATGATTGGTCAAAGAATCAGAGAGCGGAGCGAAATAGTACATCGGTGCAGTACCGACGTTTTCCTCCATATTCTGGTTCACGCGCACAGCTTAAAGGGTAGAGTATATTTTGTCATTTTTGAGGTTTCTTTTTTCGTTTGAAGCAACACAAGTGCTCAAAATCTAAATAAGGGTGCTTAACAACTATCCTCATGAGTTTTTAGCTCAGTAAATGCTGGGGATTTTTTTCAGAGAAAATTACTCGGATGTCGATTTCAATTCTAAAATTGCCGTGTCATTTTTTATTTTAATATTGTGCCCGAAATCTGCATCCGGGACACGTTCTCATTCAGCCAACTGCAGCCACTGGATGTCACGCAATGAACCGACGAATAATAACAACTGCGTCGTGTCAATGCTTGCGCGCACCCATTCAACGAACTACTAACGGAAATTCCAGAGATGCATCTTGAGACGTATCTTTGGAAAAGACCTTTTTTGTTTTCAAAATGACAGCATGCAAGAAAGAATAATTTCACAGCGAGTTTAGCGCCAGTACTATCTTTATATCAAGCTTGCTTTTCAACGATAATTTCGTCAGTTGCTTTTGGATCAGCGCGCAAGCGCTTGAACCAAAACAAGTCAGACGGCATCGCACTTTGGTGAATTGCGATCGGCGGATGGTAGACCTAAAAATAGCTAACAAGTTCTCTCTCTCGCCAATAATGAGATTTGCTAATAATCCGTATAGCCGCTGTGTTGTCTAGCAATCCTAAATGGAAACGAGGTGTGTACATTTACCTGATCAGCGCGCGCGTCGATTTTAATCATGCGCGTCGATCTTTTTTTCCCAAAATGTTCCGCGGTAGCTCCAACAGCGCCCTCTATTTCCGCACCTCCTCAATTTTTTTTACCAAAGAGCACCAGGAATGGGTAATTGCACCAAGGCAAATGATCGAAAGCACCAAGGCAAATTATGGAGGACACCAATGTACATGAGGACACCAAAAAAGCAAAATAGTACCCACCATTGTCTGTACAATCCCAGCTTGAAGAAAAAAAAAAAGCAAAAAAAAAAAAAAAAGCCGCGTGGCCGCGTCAATTCCCGAACTTTGGTCTGACCAGAGACCGAATATTTTTTTTTTTTGGCCTAACTACGACCTTTTTTTGTCAAATTACGCGATGGCTCTTACGAAGTGCATTTCAACGAGGTCTGTTCAGATCACACTCTGACACTGTTTTTTTTTCTACCAGACCTAGTTTCGCAACGCTGAGGCATAGTGAAGCAAACGATTTTTATTGACACAATGCATATTTGGGCCATGTCCGAATTGCTTGGCTGAGGCTTGAAATTACACACATTTTTACGGTTGCGGCTGCAGCGACTTCCCATAGACCGTAGCCAACTTATTCGGACGCGGCCTGACAATTCCCCGACGCACTGACGTCTAAATTGTAGGTCAGGTAACCGCCACCGGGCTCAAAATAAACATGATGGCCCTCATTCAAACCATTTTTTATACCGCAATTTCTGACGACTTTAACCAAATTATTTTGAGGAAAAGATGGTGGTGTACGCATTGCCCGTCTTTATGGCGACGTCACTTAAAAAGAACAAAAAACAAAATGGGTTCTTTTTTGGGGGGGGGGGGGGGGGGGGGGGGCATGGGCCCCGTCCCCCCCCCCCCCCCCCCCCCCCCCCCGGATCTGCCCTTGCTTAAGACTGACATGGAAGTCGCTTGAGGGCGTAAAGAATGTGATACCCTTCTTGTCATCAAAACTTTCGTATAATCGTATACTATCCAATCAAAATGTATTCTGTACAGCGATACAAAAACGTCACGTGGTCGCAAACTGCACCCCACCTTGGATATTTTGACCCCCTCCTCGACAGTGGCGTAGCCCCCCCCCCCCCCGAGTGGCTGAGTGCGACGGGCTATAGATTTTAAAAGGAAAATCAGGACGCCGATAGAAGCCAAATCGGGTCGGAGAATTAAAATGGGTTATAAATGCAAAATTATATTTTGCAACGGGCAAACACAAGTCTGGGTACTCGCCTGCACCTCGAATTGTTCACGGTCTGAACTAGTTTGGGCTAATGCACCGTCCATTGCCAGTCATCCAGTAAATATAATGGTGTACATGTACTCAATCATTTTTTACAAAGTTTCACAAAAACAAAGTGTTCAGCAATCGGCAACCTGTAAATTACACAAAATGTTAAGCAGCGTTTGAATGTACACACACCTGACAGATATTGTGACTTAGCTTCAAGTTGTTTGAGACGTAAATGATCAATAATTATCGATTTCTAAAACTAAAAGCTCTTTCGGGGCCCCGAAATCGATGAAGGGGGTAAAAGTGGGCTTTGTATTACACAATAAAGGCAACACAGAAATGCACCGTTATGTAGTAACCGAAAAGAAGGGTCGCAACAGAAGATAAGGGGGTGATGAGGATCTAAGGTGGACGCCATTTTGGAGACCCTCAGTTTTGACATGAGAATTTGTGCGAAATACGCCAACTTTCGTCAGAAATGGATGTCAGATCAGTTCACGTTCTGTTGGTGAGTTCTTACATTCATTATGTATATTTTTTCTACCTCATATCCCACAGAAATTCCACTGCTGGCGGAGTTTGCTCTATTGCCTAAATGATCGCGCCAGTTCACTTTCACTTGATGCTGAAATGCTAAAATGTAATTGTTATGATAACTTTAATGAAGTACTTATATGATCTTTGTGTTGCACGTAACCAGACAGATTTCCTGGACAGGACCAAATTGAATTGAATCAAATTAGAGAGAAGACTAACAGCCACTAAATTAGTGGGGCAGCTAATATGGGAGATATTTGGGGGATTGTGTTTGATGATACAAGCATGACATTTGGCTGGAGTATGCCTTAAGAAAGATATTTGGCTATAGGACCATCGCAGATTTGTCCTTTGAAAAAAATAAAGGTAGACTAACTAGCAATTTTCGAAATTTTCGAAATGGCTGCCATTGCTTGTTATTCTACCCATATTTTTTTCAAAGAACAAATCTGCGATGGCCCTATAGCCAATATCATTCTCATTACATACTCTGACTGTGTGCCAAATGCCATGCTTGTATCATCAAAAGCACAATCTCAGTTTGCCCTACTAAACAGAGGTTGAACATTTGGAAGTTTCAATTTTTTCTTTTTAAACTTCATTTTCAGGCTGTACTTGTCCTCGTCGGTGGTATAACCGTGACACAAGCCGCAGGTAAGAAATAAATACATCACATCATATTTCATCTGCATGTCACTTCGTGGTCGGTCGGTTGGTCGGTCTGTCCGTCCCAAAAAAATGACCAAAATACCCTATTGGGGTATCTGCCAACAAGGCTGGATCCAGAACACCATTCTTTTTTTTTTAGGGGGGGGGGGGGAGTGGGTCCAAGCATTTTTCGCCCCCAATTTAATATGAAAAGCAAGGGGTGGGGTGCAAATGTACTCTCTCAATTCTAAAGAGTGAAAATTCACTCTATTCAAGTGAAGATTCACTCCCACAGTCGGAAACTAGGGACTAGACGTTTTAGAGTGAAATTTCTTCAATCGTAAAGATCGAGGTTTCACTCGAGCTTCGACTGAAGTGGTTCATTTTTCAGACTATGTCAATCGAAATTGAGAGTGATTTCACTCTAAACCGTCTAGTCCCTAATTTCACTCTTTGGAATTTAGAGAGTATTTGCTTTTGTTGAGTTTTGTGGGTGGTGTACACATGGCTGCCTTTTTCTTTTTTTAGCGACGTTACTAAAAAAAAAAAATTCGTTTTGGGGAGCCATGGCCCCCGTTGGGCCCCATGGACCCGCCGTTGTCTGCCACCTAAGACCTTTTTGCCTGGGCAACTATTTTTACGATTGAATTCAAATTGTTTATAACATTACTATACACACCAAAAAGAAACCCACACGAAATTTTCGTTAAAGGAAGTAGCGTTTTGGAACAAAGATGGAAATAAGCAATATGTGAAATACAAAAAATACAGTACTGTATAATATTTCTCTTCCAAGAAAGAGAAAATCGCCTAAATATGGTTTAAATATTTGCCTTTAAACCCTTGTTGTTTCAACGTAAAGTTGTACTTAGAAAGCCACTGTTGAGGTTTTGTATCCACAACTTTCCTTAACTATTCTCTTTCCAGATTTTCCATTCAGCTTCTTCGTCAGGACTCCCTTTGCAACTTTAGCCTACCCGAATAAGACAGTGAGCGGGCTGACGGAGTCCGAGTGTGCCGAGGCCTGCCTATACGAACCTGGCTTCAACTGCCTATCGGTGGAGTATCAATGGCCTAGCAGGGACTGCCTGCTCAGTGTATCCAGCGCTACCAGCCTCGGAGATTCACTAACAACTGATAAATATTATAATTACTACGAGAAACTTGTTGGTAAGTCAGTGGTATCCTTACAAGAGGAACGAGGCATGCCCCCCTCGAGGCCCGTGTCCGCCCCTTTTGTCCTACCCCTTCCAGGATTAAAGTAGGCAAATAATGAGGGTTTTAATTGTTAACAATCCGCTAATAAGTGCCCCTCCCGAAATGAGCACCCCTTAGTGCCTCCTTTAAAAGGCCCGTGTAATGTATTTTTTGGTGTGCGATTCCGGAAATTTTACCCATGTCTCGTTAACCTTATTTTCAATTTTCACTTAGCCATTTTCAAGGGTATTTTTGGTGCCTTTTGATTTTATTGTTTTTGATTTTATGTATGGTATATTTTTGTTTTATGCTAAAGGTTTCCATATTCATGAGCAAAATAGTGATGCCATTTCAGACAGACTCTTCAAAGTTACAACTAGTTTCAGCACTAAAAGTTGTCAGAATTTAGGATATTTCGCTGTCGTAAATGTTCTTTTCTTTAGCGATTCGTTGTTGGATCAGTACATGGCAGTAAGCCAAAGAGCAAACACTTCTCACAAACGTTTGCAATGAACACATTGAAATTGAATTTTTTCCAAAATGTTTTCCTAGGAAATATAGTCCTGAGAAACATTCCGTAAATGGGACCTTAAATGCCAGGTTTTATTTTTGGGCTACATATTTTTTTTTTAATATAAGCTGTTAAACGAAGTTTTCGTTGATTTATTGGGAAACATGGTGTCTTGCTGTTGTCGTGTAGGTGAATGCTCGTTTCCGGCCGTTGGGCTTGAGGATGGCACGGTGTCCCTTGATGACGTCACCATGTCGTCATTCCTGGGTGATGCGGAAGACGGACCGATCGGTATCTCCAAAGCAAATGTCCGTCTGAACTCTGACGGCGCCTGGTGTTCACAGGAACTGGAAAATATCAACTCCATCTCGGAATGGGTGCAGGTAAGATGTGAAAAATTTTGCCTTAAAACCTAACCACGCTAAATGCAACAGAAAGCAACAAAGGTAAAACAGTTGTTGCATACTGTTGCATTTAGTAGCAGCTCAAGTCCGGGTGCTTTGTTGCATCTTGTTGCATTTAGCAGTGCAACAGCTCAAAGTGCCAAGGCCATACAACATAATCCACTGTTGCATTAAGTGCTTCGTGCCAAGGATGGTATGCACCGAGTATGCACAATGCAACAAAATCCACTGTTGCAATTTGTTGCATTAAATTGCCATAGAGTAGGCTGTCAGCGGGCTTCACTCCGTGGTTTGTTTACATGCTATATCTCGTCTTGACGGTATCTTGTTATGAACAATTACTAATTTTTTCGACATGTATAAGGAGCTAGTTAGGCTGGCTACAACGTCCAACAAGTTTGAAGTCCGTAGACCCAATACTCGTGGAGAAAATGGGACATAAGCAAGAATATTTTGCCCAAGTTTGTTTCTGTGTGTAAATTGCCGTAGAGTAGGATGTCAGCGGCTTCACTCCGTGGTTTGTTTACATGCTATATCTCGTCTTGACGGTATCTTGTTATGAAAAATTCCTAATTTTTTTGACATGTATGGGGAGCTAGTTAATCAAGCTACAACGTCCAACAAGTTAAAAGTCCGTAAACCGAATACTTGTGGAGAAAATGGGACATAAGCAAGAATATTTTGCCCGAGTTTGTTTGTGTGTGTTAATTGCCATAGAGTAGGCTGTCAGCGGGCTTCACTCCGTGGTTTGTTTACATGCTATATCTCGTCTTGACGGTATCTTGTTATAAAAAATTCCTGATTTTTTGGATATGTATGGTGAGCTAGTTAGTCAGGCTACAACATCCAACAAGATTGAAGCCCGTAGACCGAATACTCGTGGAGAAAATGGGACATAAGCAAGAATATTTTGCCCGAGTTTGTTTCTGTGTGTTAATTGCCATAGAGTAGGCTGTCAGCGGGCTTCACTCCGTGGTTTGTTTACATGCTATATCTCGTCTTGACGGTATCTTGTTATGGAAAATTCCTGATTTTTTGGATATGTATGGTGAGCTAGTTAGTCAGGCTACAACATCCAACAAGATTAAAGTCCGCAGACCCAATACTCGTGGAGAAAATGGGACATAAGCAAGAATATTTTGCCCGAGTTTGTTTCTGTGTGTAAATTGCCGTAGAGTAGGATGTCAGCGGCTTCACTCCGTGGTTTGTTTACATGCTATATCTCGTCTTGACGGTATCTTGTTATGAAAAATTCCTAATTCTTTTGACATGTATGGGGAGCTAGTTAATCAAGCTACAACGTCCAACAAGTTAAAAGTCCGTAAACCGAATACTTGTGGAGAAAATGGGACATAAGCAAGAATATTTTGCCCGAGTTTGTTTGTGTGTGTAAATTGCCTTAGAGTAGGCTGTCAGCGGGCATCACTCCGTGGTATGTTCACTTGCTATATCTCGTCTTGACGGTATTTGTTATTACAAATATCTAATTTTTTGGTCATGTATAATGAGCTAGTTAGTCAGGCTACAACGTCCAACAAGTTTGAAGTCCGTAGACCCAATATTCGTGGAGAAAATGGGACATAAGCAAGAATATTTTGCCCGAGTTTGTTTGTGTGTGTAAATTGCCATAGAGTAGGCTGTCAGCGGACTTCACTCTGTGGTGTGTTTACTTGCTATATCTCGTCTTGACGGTATCTTGTTATTAAAAATTTCTGATTTTTTGGACGTATATGGTGAGCTAGTTAGGTAGGCTACAACGTCCAACAAGTTTGAAGTCCGTGGACCCAATACTCGTGGAGAAAATGGGACATAAGCAAGAATATTTTGCCCGAGTTTGTTTCTGTGTGTAAATTGCCAAAGAGTAGGCTGTCAGCGGACTTCACTGTGTGGTGTGTTCACTTGCTATATCTCGTCTTGACGGTATCTTGTTATTACAAATTTCTAATTTTTTGGACATGTATAGTGAGCTAGTTAGTCAGGCTACAACGTCCAACAAGTTTGAAGTCCGTGGACCCAATACTCGTGGAGAAAATGGGACATAAGCAAGAATATTTTGCCCGAGTTTGTTTGTGTGTGTAAATTGCCATAGAGTAGGCTGTCAGCGGACTTCACTCTGTGGTGTGTTTACTTGCTATATCTCCTCTTGACGGTTTCTTGTTATGAAAAATTTCTGATTTTTTTGAACATGTATGGGGAGCTAGTTAGACAAGCTACAACGTCCAACAAGTTTGAAGTCCGTAGATTCAATTCTCGTGGAGAAAATGGGACATAAACAAGAATATTTTGCCCGAGTTTGTTTCTGTGTTTAAATTGCCATAGAGTAGGCTGTCAGCGGGCTTCACTCCATGGTTTGTTTACATGGTATATCTCGTCTTGACGGTATCTTGTTATGAAAAATTCCTAATTTTTTTTGACATGTATGGAATGCTAGTTAGTCTGGCTACATCGTCCAACAAGTTTGAAGTCCGTAGACCCAATACTCGTGGAGAAAATGGGACATAAGCAAGAATATTTTGCCCGAGTTTGTTTCTGTGTGTAAATAGCCATAGAGTATGCTGTCAGCGTGCTTCACTCCGTGGTGTGTTCACTTGCTATATCTCGTCTAGACGGTATCTTGTTATTACAAATTTCTAATTTTTTGACATGTATAGTGAGCTAGTTAGTCAGGCTACAACGTCCAACAAGTTTGAAGTCCGTAAACCCAATACTCGTGGAGAAAATGGGACATAAACAGGAATATTTTGCCCGAGTTTGTTTGTGTGTGTAAATTGCCATAGAGTAGGCTGTCAGCGGACTTCACTCTGTGGTGTGTTTATTTGATATTCTCGTCTTGACGGTATCTTGTTATAAACAATTACTAATTTTTTCCGACATGTATAAGGAGCTAGTTAGTCTGGCTACAACGTCCAACAAGTTTGAAGTCCATAGACCCAATACTCGTGGAGAAAATGGGACATAAGCAAGAACATATTGCCCGAGTTTGTTTCTGTGTGTAAACTGCCATAGAGTAGGTTGTCAGCGGCTTAACTCCGTGGTTTGTTTACATGCTATATCTCGTCTTGACGGTATCTTCTTATGAAAAATTTCTAATTTTTTGACATGTAGAGTGAGCTAGTTAGTCAGGCTACAACGTCCAACAAGTTTGAAGTCCGTAAACCCAATACTCGTGGAGAAAATGGGACATAAGCAGGAATATTTTGCCCGAGTTTGTTTGTGTGTGTAAATTGCCATAGAGTAGGCTGTCAGCGGACTTCACTCTGTGGTGTGTTTACTTGATATTCTCGTCTTGACGGTATCTTGTTATTACAAATTTCTGATTTTTTGGACGGGTATGGTGAGCTAGTTAGTCAGGCTACAACGTCCAACAAGTTTGAACTCCGTGGACCCAATACTCGTGGAGAAAATGGGACATAAGCAAGAATATTTTGCCCGAGTTTGTTTCTGTGTGTTAATTGCCATAGAGTAGGCTGTCAGCGGGCTTCACTCTGTGGTGTGTTTACTTGCTATATCTCGTCTTGACGGTATCTTGTTATAAAAAATTCCTAATTTTTTGACATGTATGGGGAGCTAGTTCGTCAAACTACAACGTCCAACAAGTTTGAAGTCCGTAGACCCAATACTCGTGGAGAAAATGGGACATAAGCAAGAATATTTTGCCCAAGTTTGTTTCTGTGTGTAAATTGCCGTAGAGTAGGATGTCAGCGGCTTCACTCCGTGGTTTGTTTACATGCTATATCTCGTCTTGACGGTATCTTGTTATGAAAAATTTCTAATTTTTTGACATGTAGAGTGAGCTAGTTAGTCAGGCTACAACGTCCAACAAGTTTGAAGTCCGTAAACCCAATACTCGTGGAGAAAATGGGACATAAGCAGGAATATTTTGCCCGAGTTTGTTTGTGTGTGTAAATTGCCATAGAGTAGGCTGTCAGCGGACTTCACTCTGTGGTGTGTTTACTTGATATTCTCGTCTTGACGGTATCTTGTTATTACAAATTTCTGATTTTTTGGACGGGTATGGTGAGCTAGTTAGTCAGGCTACAACGTCCAACAAGTTTGAACTCCGTGGACCCAATACTCGTGGAGAAAATGGGACATAAGCAAGAATATTTTGCCCGAGTTTGTTTCTGTGTGTTAATTGCCATAGAGTAGGCTGTCAGCGGGCTTCACTCCGTGGTTTAATTACATGCTATATCTCGTCTTGACGGTATCTTGTTATGAACAATTTCTAATTTTTTGGACATGTATAGTGGGCTAGTTAGTCAGGCTATATTGTCCAACAAGTTTGAAGTCCGTAGACCCAATACTCGTGGAGAAAATGGGACATAAGCAACAATATTTTGCCCCAGTTTGTTTCTGTGTGTAAATTGCCATAAAGTAGGCTGTCAGCGTGCTTCACTCCGTGGAATGTTCACTTGCTATATCTCGTCTTGACGGTATCTTGTTATTACAAATTTCCAATTTTTTGGTCATGTATAATGAGCTAGTTAGTCAGGCTACAACGTCCAACAAGTTTGAAGTCCGTAGACCCAATACTCGTGGAGAAAATGGGACATAAGCAAGAATATTTTGCCCGAGTTTGTTTGTGTGTGTAAATTGCCATAGAGTAGGCTGTCAGCAGGCTTCACTCCGTTGTGTGTTCACTTGCTATATCTCGTCTTGACGGTATCTTGTTATTACAAATTTCCAATTTTTTGGACATGTATAGTGAGCTAGTTAGTCAGGCTACAACGTCCAACAAGTTTGAAGTCCGTAGACCCAATACTCGTGGAGAAAATGGGACATAAGCAAGAATATTTTGCCCGAGTTTGTTTGTGTGTGTAAATTGCCATAGAGTAGGCTGTCAGCGGCTTCACTCCGTGGTTAGTTTAGATGCTATATCTCGTCTTGACGGTATCTTGTAATTAAAACTTTCTAATTTTTTGGACATGTATAGTGAGCTAGTTAGTCAGGCTACATCGTCCAATAAGTTTGAACTCCGT